CAGGTGGCGCAGGTTCCATCTCAGTTCAACAAGTATCGCATCTATCTGAGTGGGGCACGTGCCCTGAACTACACTATTTCGGATGAGATCACAAAGGTCAGGATTTTGTCAAGTCACCTTTATTTCTATAGCGCTTTATACAATACATGTTGTTTCGAAGTAGCTTCACAGTATTAAACAAGATAATAACAATTTAAAGTTCTTCAATTGTGAAATGAATGCAATTTCAGCTGTAAAGCAGCCCTACAGAAGATTCAGTTTAGTTCAATATTCAGTTATAAGTATCTCTACAGAAGGCAATGGTGTAAGTTCAGTTCAAGTCAGTTCAGTGTTGATTCAGTTATGAAACAAACTCAATTCAGCTATAAGGCAGCTCTACAGAAGACAGTTGTCATTATCCAGCACAATTTAGTTCCAATTTAGTCAGCGCAGTTAAATTGATAATATTGCTGGATATTAAAGGGATAGTTAACCAAAAACTGAAAATTCTGTCATTAATTACTCACCCTCATGTCATTCCAAACCCATAAGACATTCGTTCATCTTCGGAACACAAATTTTGATATTTTTGATGAAATCCAAGAGCTTTCTGACCCTGCATAGACAGCAATGCAACTATGTTCAAGACCCAGTAAGGTAGTAAGGACTTCGTTAAAATATCCATGTGACATCAGTGGTTCAACCGTAATTTTATGAAGCTAGAATACTTTGTGCGTGTAGAAAACAAAAATAACGACGCATGAATTGTGGTACTTTTTTAGTGGTCTGCTACCCGACCCGAGCCCGACGGGTCACGAAATACTTTCGGGTTTCGGGTCACGTTCGGGTTAATGTTTAATGAATAGCTTCGGGTTCGGTTCGGGTCGGGCTCGGGTTTATAGCTAAACTAAAACTATATGCAGGCTACGCTGCTTTCTTAGACGCACGCACACACAATATTGCACACGACAACACAGCACGGTAACTTTTATTAGTAAAATAGCTTCGACAGGCTACTGACTCGCAACGTTATATTTCTCTGCAATGAGGGGGTAAAATCACTGTTTTTGAAGTAACTAAGCCTCATTGCTTGTAGAGAGAGATGCGCAGACCCAGGTTCACACACGCAACTTTCATCTCTCTCTCTCACGCTAAATCAAATAAATGATATAATTAGCCTAATTAATTCAAATAAATGCGATCTTACCGCATTGCATCTCTGTGTCTGATTTAAAGCAGGCCGAATGCTAGTAAGGCTCGTAACTGACAAAAATGACCATAATTTGCATGATGGAAAAATAATCGTCTTGTCGTATACAACCGTTCAAAAACTTGGCAGAATTAGTGACCGCTGCACCTGATGTTCATAAACTTTCATAACTGGTAAGTGTTTTTTCTTTTGCCTTGTGAACTGGCTGAGCTTTAAATGATTCTGTTTCTTTACATGTATTTGTTTACTGACCGTGGCATGCAATTGTGAAATACAGCATTTTTTTTAAATTGGCTATTGGTTGTGGGAAAAAAACAAAAAAAAAGATTTCGGGTTCAGGCTCTAAATTTAACTGTGGTCGGGTCGAGTCAGACGATCTCGGGTACGGTCCGGATTCGGGCTTCACTTTAAAGCCTGTGCAGACCTCCAGTACTCTCATGAATGTGTGGAGAAGATTGACACGGAAGAGAAGAAATTGTTGAATTAAGTCGTTATTTTTGTTTTCTTTCGCACAAAAGTATTATTGTAGCTTTATGAAATTAAGGTTGAACCACTGATGTCACATGGACTATTTTAATGATGTCCTTACTACTTTTCTGGGCCTTGAACATGGTAGTTGCATTGCTGTCCGTGCAGGGTCAGAAAACTCTTGGTTCCGGATATGGTTTTATGGGCTTGGAACGACATGAGGGTGAGTAATTAATGGCATAATTCATTTTTGGGTGAGCTGTCCTATAAAGGAAACTATATAAGTTTCCTTTAAACTCCAAAGCCAAAGGCAACAGTGGCAAAGAACCAAAAATCCAAAACCAAAACAAATTTATATGATTGTTTGGATGTTTATCGTGATGAAATTTCTTGCCTCATGCTTGGCACTCTTGATCTGTAGGCAGTAGAAGAAGACTTTGTAGAGATGCGAAAAGATGACCCTCAGAGTATGTCTGCGGAAGACCTCCATAGGCTGCTGGTTGTTGCGAGGTGAGTTCTGAATTGCACTTCCACAGCTAATCTAGTTATGTTAACCATAATAAGCCAATTAAATACTAATTTGGATTCTGTTTCAGGTTGCTCTCATTAAGTCACGGGCAGAACACACTCTCCAGAGATGGCTGGATGAAAGCCAAGCAGCTAGAGGCCTTGAGAATAAGTCGAACACAGCAGCAGAAAAGTCTGAGCGGAAACGAGCCTTAAAATATATTACTATTTACATATACTTCAACAGTTACCATACTTGTTTATATTTTGGATTAAAATGTAATGTTTTCATATGGCATATGACCTTGTACAGTTCAGTTTTTTACTTCATTTTAAACATGTGGGAAAACTTACTGGCACTGGTGAAGATTATTTTCAATGTTTGAATTGTTAAATTTTGGTTTTGCTACTTGCATTGTGTATTAACATTTATATGCAAATGCAAATATGTTTCAAAATATAACTGTCTTACCGCAAATATTTACACTTATGGCACAAGGGTATTAGAAAAAATAAAGTTGAGAACTTTGTGTATATATAGTCTTGTTTGAAGTGTTGGATAGCACTTCACAGTAAGGTTTCATTTGTTAACTATTTTAGTTAACATGAACTAATAATGGGAAGTACTTCTAAAGCAGTTTGTCAATGTCAATTTAAGTTCATTTTAACATTTACTAATACATTAAAATAACTATGTTAATGTTATTTAATGGACCTAAGCTAACAATAAACTCTTGTATTTTTATTAACCAACTTTAACAAAGATTAATAAATACTGTAACAAATGCATTGCTTATTTTTAGTTAATGCATTAACTAATGGGACCTTTTGTAATGTGTTACCAATTATGGGATTTATGTTATACCAATGGCAATTATATACCAATTATGCAGTTGGCAATGGCAATATAATCTAACACTTAGGGACCTTGTTGTTCTGATGTATTACAGTTAATTAAAATCATGCCGTTAAAAACAGCTTTACAAGAAGGTTTGTCAGCATGTTTAGAGTTAAAAATAGCAAAGGCCTGAAAGTGCCAGTGCTGACATGTTCATGTTGAATGTCTCGGGCAATGCAGCACCAGACTACTCTTCTCTATTATAACCTGACTGAAGGAGTCAAAACTCTCAGACTGCATCTGAATGCAAAGAATGTAATACAGTGTAGCTCTGGGCAATTAAGAGCTCTTCACTAGGAGGAGCCACATACTGACACTGTAAGGAGAGGTTACAGTGAGATCTGTGAGTGGAGTGCTAGAAAAAAATCATTCCTCAAGTGATATCTGCAGTGTTTGGTGAAAAAAGACTCTCCAACCGTTTTTGTAATTAAAGCTGTAAATGAATCAAAATGTTAAAAAAAAAATTTGTTTAAATATTTACTTAAAAATCCTCCCAGGCACATCCCATAACATTACATAAAATACAGCAGTTTACATTATTATTATTTTTATTATTAACATAGGAAAGTACTGGGGAATAAGCTTGAGAACATGAATTTTGAATAAATACTCTGCAATAAAATGTTGGGTACAATGGATGAAAACAATCCACAAACATTTATGGAGGACAACGTTCTCTCAAATGGGAAGAAGCTGAACATGATTTACAAACAGGACTGTTAGACAAAATGTTATACGATGCATGTCAGTTCAGTTACAAACATTGAAAATAAAAAGTGGATTCAAAAGCACTTTGTGACAAATTGCAAGATGTTCAGGGAACAACCACAAAGGACAGCACAATTCATACATAACCAAAAACAATCTACCCCACCTCCAAAAACAAGAGGAATGTTTGTCAAGATCCTCAGCATAAACCTCTGCCAAAGAAGAACATTTCAAGTTCAAAGCAAAGTACAGAGTGCAGTCCAGTGCATGCCATCTTAAATAGTAAAAACAGTATTCCGATTACCACCAAAACTACTGCGCATGTATTTATCACTGTTGCATAACAGCCACTGTATATTAAAACTAAGACGGTTCCAATCTCGGAAGCTTATCAAAATCACGTACCAGCTCCAGGAATGTCAAGAACATTGTGTAACCCACTGCCTTGCACAGCACTATGCTACAGTACATGAGAGAGAAAGACGAGTAAGAAATGACGTGTGAGAAACAAATCTCATGGTGGGTTTGAAAGCTAACTGTGGCCCAAAGAACCGATAAACCAGCTCTAAAAGCCAATATAATGTTCTCAATGATGTTCACGTGAGATCACAGTGTCTTATTCAGATCTTTTGATATTATTTAGTCCATAAGACATTGAACTATTTCAGCGTCTCTTGATACACAAAGATCAATCCCACAGGAGCTGCACTTAAACAACAATTAATGCATAATTAAACTAGGATCCACTGGATATCACCCAGTAAGGCTTGATTTTTTTTTTTCCCCAAATCTATAATATATGGGGTAAGGCTTCAAAAGATGATCTAATTCACTTCTCGATTTTGAACCAAATGACCTTCAAGCCAAAGCGAATCTAAAGACGTGGCATAGATACTATAGACAGAAATAAATGTAAACCGAATGAAACCCGATTTATAGGTAGACTTGTCAAAAACATGTATTTAGCAATTTGATAAGGCTTGCTCTTAAACTAGGATCCACTGGATATCACCCAGTAAGGCTTGATTTTTTTTTTTTTCCCAAATCTATAATATATGGGGTAAGGCTTCAAAAGACGATCTAATTCACTTCTCGATTTTGAACCAAATGACCTTCAAGCCAAAGCGAATCTAAAGACGTGGCATAGATACTATAGACAGAAATAAATGTAAACCGAATGAAACCCGATTTATAGGTAGACGTGTCAAAAACATGTATTTAGCAATTTGATAAGGCTTGCTCTTGCCATTTAATGAGTGCAAAATGTTGATTATCATGGGTATCTTGCATCAGACCTGTGTCAAATACCAGTCAAGTGTCATTATATATGCATACGGAGGTCCAGCAACTGCAAATAATTAATTTGAGGTTTTTGCAGGTACTCGAAAACCAGTCATATCTGCATATGATATGAACATCCAACAATGTACAAGCAGAGCATTTGAAGATATCAGCAGACCACTGTTACATTATCCCATCACATACAACTGAAAAATAAGACATAGATGTAAAATTTTAAGACAAGCCTTGCTCAAAATAAACTTGACAGTAAATAGTTGTTTGAGTTGTCTGCTAATGCTATGAAACGAACGTTTTGTTTGACAGAATTTAGTTGCATGATTGGATCAACAGGGGCGTCTTGTTTCCATCAGCTATGATTATAAACTTAAGAGCATGTAAATATAATTCTCTGTCTATAAACTTCTTAATTGGAGAGTTCTAAAGGAAACTGCTACAGTACTTACAATACTTTTTACAGTTGAATAATATAATTTGACCATAGATCTTACACAACTACTCTGGTCCTATTTTGGTATAGTTTTATGACAAACACCACATCAAAGATATTCATATAACTGTACGGTCTGGTTGTCTAACGTGAAATATTAAGCCGCCCACTGATAGATATTCCAATTGGGAAAGGTTTTAGTTACAGCTACGACAGCCAGTGAATTTCACTGCACAAATGGGGTCACATGACATATCTAGGTCTTGGGTCTCGACATGCAATAAAACTTGCCTGTCGTAATCTACTTAAGAGTTACTTCTTAACATGCAAACCAGCAATATAGAAATGTTTAGGATTCGACTTGGTCGAGTTAATCGTACTACTTCCTACTCAACACTGGCTGTAAACTTTGGTTCAGTTAACTGGAGGGAAAACCAGGAGTGTGGCTTGACTTTTGTGAGCTTATGCTACCGTTACTGTACTGGAAGTCACGATCTAACGCTAAAAATACATCCACTAAGCACGCTATATCTGAATGATCCTGGTCTGGCACTGTGTAAACATTGCTCGCAATTCGTTCTCTTGGGTTTCGTTGACAGCATCTGGTTCTGGGCTTTTCTGTACTTTTGCTACAGCAAAGTTGATGCCTTGGGTAAGTCCAGCTTGGGTTAAACTAGCCACCTGCACCATGGAGCTCCTGATCTTCGCGAAGGGCGACACAACCCGGCTTCCATTGCTGTCTGCAGGGGAGGGTCCTGTGACACCTTCCAGGCTCTTTTGTGACCCGCATGATGTGGCGGAGCCTGCAGCCTGAACAGTCAGAAGATTTGCCCCATGGATGGAGGACTCTACCTCAAGCTGGGATGGGCGAGGAAGCTGCTGTTGGGAATGAGAAGACCCCAGCTTTGCGTCTGGAGCTGAGGGGGCTTGAGGCGCTTGCGGTTTGGGTGCTGGTGCCACTTCCTCGAACACCTCTATTGGTTTGATCTTGGCATCCTGGACAAATTGGTGGCAGTAAGCATCAATAGGTGTCCCGAAGTCAATCAGAATGGCTTCCTCTGCCACCGAGGCAGACCCAGGAGACTGGCCATCCGGGCCAACTGACAAGCTATCTGCTGTCTTGTCATCACAGCCTGTGATTCGGATGGCAGAGGGCACAGCAAGCTCGACGCTGCCAATCGACTGCGAGCGACTGCCAAGTCGTGGTGCAGATGCTACAATTCCACAGCTAGGAAGCACATAGTCCACATTTTCCCGAGAGCCTGAGCAAGGCTGCTCGTCAGAGTTGTATGAATCAGAATCAGAGGAAATCTCCTCTGAATGTTCGTCATTAAGGTCTTTCAGGGCTGCTGAACCCGTATTGCCATCATGAGTCTCTAAACTGCTGTCTGATTTCCAGAGGTTCATATGCAAATTTGGCTTGAGGAAGTTCACTTTTACCTCAGGCTTTGAGAAGGTCCCTAGTTTCCCCAAGGGCTTGAAGTTTCCAATGTTGACGTTAGTCTTTGTCTGCTTCACTTTCTGGTTTAGTGTTGAAAACTTGTTCAAAAGGAAACTTTTGCCTTGAGCCAAACCAGACCCAAGGACTTGGTCCACGGCTTTCCCTTGTATTCCCATTATATCCTCATGCGGTTTGCTGTGTCTCCTGAAACAAAGCAATTAAAGCAAGATTAATCAAGAATTAACAATTCAGCACAATTTGGCTTTGTTCAAAAAGGCAGAAAAAAACAACAGATTTGACTGAAATTGGTTTAGTTTTTTGTAGTCTTAACATGAAAAAAAAACATTAAATCAGAAGTTCACAAGCCTGGTCCAAACCACCTTCATGAAAGAATTTGATTTTTGTTAATGTGTCTCAGGCTAATTGATCAGATCGAGTTTCATGTTTTTTCATTCGTTAATTACTGTGAAGCAGGTTTAAACACCCAACACTAAACTGTCACAGGAACCTACACAAGTTTGTGTCCAATGTGGAAATGCTAGCAAAAAATTGCAGGAATGCTCATATCCAGCCACATATAATTTTTTTTATACAACAGTGAAAAAAAAAAAAATTAAGATGAAAAAATCAAATTTAGAAAACAGATTTAAGACCAAAATCCCCTGCAGTGTGAGCAAAGCCTTTGTGTCCTTAGTAAATCAGGTAAACACCATCTCCTAGAAGAAGCTCACAAAAGTTTTTTTTTTCCTTTTACCTTCTCTAGTTTCTTCTCAACAACCTGGACATCAAGCCCCATAGCTTGCTTTGTAATACGAAGCATTTCCGCAATGCACTGGAGTGTGTCTGAAATGCAAACAATCCAACAAGTGCAGAGGAAAGGATAAATTATTTAACACAAACACAAAACCCTGCATCAGCATACAGACAGCCAAGTTATATCTTTTACCAACTTAACCCATAATGTCAATCACTGAATTACACAATACAGAACTAGAGGCACAACAAATCATGGTATCCCTGTACAAACCTTTTCCATCATCTTCTGGATTTCGTGTGACAGCCCTCAGCGTATGGAAGTAACCACTCATCTCCCCGTTCTTATAGTGCAGCCGCATGCAGCAGTATTTAGGCTTTCCGAAAAGAGTCGGTTCTGGACCTAAAAAGACCAACATTGGTGATATCACAGAACATTTTATTTATTAGGACAAAAATTACACCCACAAGTCTTATCTACAAGCTCTTACCAATTTCGATCTTTTCAAGTCCTTCTAAACTTAGTCTCTGATACTGGTTGACTTTGTCCGCCTCCTCATCATAGCTAAATAGCAACAGCAAAGTGGAGTGGCATTACTAAACCAATGCCAAGAAAAAGGATTTCTTATTTTAAAAACAAACATTGGGAGAAATTGCACTTACTAGGCCACATAATATGCACAGTTGGACAACAGCAGAAGAACATCAACATCTTTGTGAGTGGCATCTATAAGACTATAAGAGGAAAAAGGTCAACATCTTGAAAGAGAGGCCCATAAATAGTACCATTAAACACTAGGCATACAGGAAAAAGAGAAACAATGGACAATGCCTTGCAAAATGCATGAAATTTTACTAGAATTCGACTCGGACCATAATATATCATGCTTATTTGAGTATATCTTGTGTGAAAATTACCTCAAATAAGCATTACATATGGACAGAGTTAACCTTGTGTAATTTACAAAGACTTAAGATGATTCCAACCCAATCAGTAACAGTTTTCAGGCATCTGTCACCATGACCTACCACCAAAAAATTCTCAAAAGAATGGAGGAAATATGGCTCCCTCACCCAAACAATTATTATATAACCAAACAAGAAAAAAAAACAATATGTACAAATACCTCTGAGCCACTGACAATAAACTGTAGGAGGAAGAGTAAACTAACAATATAAATTTTTTAATCAAGCTTTATAATAGATCTTTAATAATACATCTCTAGCATTATTACCTTAGTTTTATTGTAATATTTTTTTTTATCTTATTGTAATTAATTTTATTCTTAAATTCTAATAAATATTTCCAAATAAAGGGAAAAAAGAAAAGAAGATTACACAATTAAGGTACTGTTAACATAGAATGCATTTTTGCATTCCACTGTGCTGCCTTGCTTTAAAAAAAAAGCAATTCAAGACCCTGTTCTTTTCATTCCCCAGACCGATGTCTTACATTTTTTTAACACAAAAACGCATTCTGTCTGATGGGGGAAAAAAACAGTGCTGAATTACTAAAAACTCTGTAATACTGAGGAAATTATATCTAATGCTTCTGTTATGGCTGTTATAGTTAATGGCTTGACAAATGCAATTAATTATGTTTAATTCAAGTTATTTGCTTAGACCATAAACATTCATTTTGACATTCTGACATAATTCCGTTTTGTATCTGACTGGAACATTGCAATTTATTACAGAATTATTGCTTACGCCACCATTCAAAAGTTTATGGTCAAACATTTTTTTTATCTATCTATTTTTATTCAGCAAGGACACATTCAATTGGTCAAAATTGACAGTAAAGACATTTATAATGCTACAAAAGGAATCAATTTCAAAAGCATTTCCACATAAATATTATTGTTTTACAGTTTTTTTTCTTTAGCACCAAATCAACATAGAATGATTTCCGAAGGATCATGTGACACAAAAGACTGTTTTGTTTGTTTGTTTGCATTTTATTCCATGCCAGCTTCTGTGGCTATTTTCATGGAAAGAGAAATTGATGGCTAAATTATATCAGGTTTTTACTATTTATTTTCATTTAAAAACTCTAAAACTATATTTGGCTTATCTCTGTTAAAAATCTCTTCAAAACAGTTAACTGAATTTAAAAAAAAAATTCTCACAGGGTTAAAACCAGCACAATCTAATAAAACATGTTTCAGGGTTAAAGGGTTTTGGCAAAGAGAACATGTTGGAGGATCTTCTCCTAGTATTAAAAACTTGTGTGTCATGACCTATTCTACAGTGGGTATAAACAACCTGGACTGTCTTTCCCAAAAGCATCATAAGCTTAAGTACATCGTAGACCCATTGAAACCAATGGAGCTATGATCAATTTAGGATTACGATGCTTTTGGGAAAAGCAGCCCTGGTCCCATCAGTTTCCAACATTGGGGCTAATTTCATGGAGTTTATTCATTGGATATAGATCCCACTCTGTTTGCCAGTTGTTATTAACATAGGAACAAATTATAGGTTTTAAATCCATAGGAGGTACTGTACAAATTTGGAGGTCTACCGATAATGCTTCTTTTGCAGCAGAGTCTGCTTCCTTATTTCCTTCGATTCCACAGTGCCCAGGCACCCAACAAAACCAGATATTACAATTATGATCCTCTAGTTCCAGCAGTTTGTAAAAAATCATAAGTGTTGGGTGATCATTTTTAAGGGATAACATTGCTTGAAGATAAGAGAATTAAAAAAAAAAAAAATTCTCTCTTTATGTAGTCTTTATGTAGTCCAAAGCCAAAATTATAGCATTTGCTATATTTGGGGGAAGACTGGAGTTATAGATGCTGAAATCTCAGCTTTAAAATGCAATGCAATAAATTAAATTTTGAGATATATTAAAATAGAAAAATTGTAATAATGTTTTACAATATTACTGTTATTACTGTATTTTTGATCAAATAAATGCAGCCTTGGTGAGCATAAAAAGACCTCAATTTAGTGTCATTATATATTATACATTATAATTTCACTTTGAATGTCATCCAAACAAGCCAGTAATTACACATGTGTAGTCTAAAGGAACGGAATACATTAACAATAGAGAAAAGTGTGCGATTAATCATGTTTAAACATTTTAATTGATTAACAGCTCTACTTTTTATACTACTTTAAAAGATATTAGGATTTCACTCAATGAAATTGTTATATTTAAACGTTTAGGCCAGAGAATGTAAAAGAAAATTTGTAAAAAATCGTGTAATTACAATTCTGAGGAAAAAGGGTAATACTTTATTTTAAGGTGTCCTTGTTACACGTTACATGTACTTACTATTATAATAACAATAAATTATGTAGAATTACATGCAAGTAACCCTAAGCCAAACCCTAATCATATAGTAAGTACATGTAGTTAATTAATATTACTCAGTACTTAAATATGTAATTACACTGTAACAAGGACACCTTAAAAAGTGTAACCGAAAAAAGTTAGAATTATGATTGCAATTACTTTTTTTGTTTTTTACTCCACGGCAGAAAAAAAACAAAAAACGGTTGCGATATCTAAACTCGTGACCTGCAATTATGAGTTTATATTTGCAATTTTGAGGGGGAAAAAAGCCAGAATCGTGAAGTATTCACTCCCATTCGCAAGGAAATAGTTAGAATTGTGATATAAAAAGACACAATTACATTTTTACGTTGGCAAAAACAAGATTTCATAGGTTTGCATATTCAAATATTTACAAATAAAAATTCAGGAAAATTTGAGAAAAACAGTTTTGCACCTGCAAGTCAATGAGGTCTTTGATCATGTGCTTGTTCCAGAAGAATCTATCATCCACCTAAAAGGAAAAAAATATTATGTGGATCAGTATTCTGTGTGTTTGTCAGATGGTATGTGTAAATGTCTGTTTTATGGTCTTTTTATTAGAACATACAGAGAAACGGGAAGTGGGATTGGAAAATTATAAAATTTTTAATACTGGTGAACCAGTGTTATTTTAGTATTATTTACAGGCTATTATAGTATTTTTTAATATTTAAAATGTGCTTTTATTTTTATATTTTCAGTTTTCATTTCAATTTAAGGTTAAGTTTTGTTGTCATTTTTATTAATTTGTTTTAAAATATTTATGTTTTATTTCGGTTTTAGTCATTTCAGTATATCAGTGTAATTTTTCATCTAATATTTATATGTATAGTTTATTTCAGCTTTATTTCTATTAACAAAACAATTTTAATAGTTTTAGTTTTAATTAACAATAACAACACTGTGGTGACTCACTCCCTACCCCTTCTTTCATTCTGTCTTTGTTCATCGTTTTAATTTAGCTGCATCTTCAGAAATAACAGATACTAATTTATTAGTACTTGACTATTTATCCAGGAAGTGTCAAAAGACAATGATCTATTCTTTAAAAAATGAGAAATGAAGCTTGGCTATAAATGTATTTCTGCATCCTGTATGTGTGGGACGAGTGTAAAAGAGTGAGCCTCATCGTCACTCAAATAAACCCAATGGTTTATTGATCTCTAAGGTATTTACATAACTGTCACCAATTTAAATAATAACAGACATTTAAAATCTATTATTATTCTTAAGTCATTCTTTAGTCATTCATTCTTAATCTGTTGCTTACTGAAAAATGGAAGTTAATAAACGTCTAATAACTCAATTTAAATTGCAACCTTAAACCACAACCTTAAAAACTCTCACTGCATACATGTAGGCCTAATTTTAATATATGTAATACAATAACACAGCTTCTCACCTTTTTCCACAAGGGCTGATCTGACTTGCCTAACTCTCCCTGTCGCTGGACTGTATTGGTGAGGTCATAGGTCAGACTATAGTAAAATGAATCCGAGTCCATGAATATCTTATAGAGCTCATCAAGCAACCGCCTCTCCAGACGTTCCTTCTCTTTATTCTCTTTGACCTGAAAGGCAGGGGAATACTGGATGGGAGTGAACAAACAAAATGAGGTTAAAGAGACAATACTAAGTTAAAAAGATGTCAATTTATGGAGAAATCAGGAGGTTCTGTTTTTACATCAACCATACTAACATGTCAAAGTACTAACGGATTAAGTAAAACGGGTAGTTAGTCTCAAAATGATTGGTATTGATATCAATGATTTCAAAACAACCCATCAACCTTTTTCTTGATGGGAACAGCAACATTAGATTTGATCTGACTCAGGGTCTTCAACAGGAACTTGGACTCATCCGGTGACTGGGTGATTTTCTCTGGTTTGTCGATTCCAAAATGATGCTTTTTGCAGAGCTGAAAGTGAATGAGAGCAAAAGAATATTTGACCATTTTGTTAATGCTAACTATCTGCTGTCATTACTAACAAAGCTAAATAGTTCAATTTGTACCTAGGTGACAAATCTACAACCATCTCTGTTTCCCTGCTCAAAGTCCATCTGAAAAAAGCTGCTACATTAATTCCTGTAATTAAAACCGAAAGGGTGCCAAGATGTGCACTAAGACTAGCCTGATGCTGATGCCAGAGCAAATTCATGTGCCCATAAAACAGAAAGAACAGCTCAAATCAAACTACACAGACAGGCTGCTATCCCAATGTAATAGAGGGCATTCAAGAGAGAATGCGCGCCAGGAGAATGAATTACAGTGACCTCTGACTGTTTCACTTACATGGTTAAACATCTCCTCTCAATCCCAGAGGCTCTGCTGAGAGACTGACTTCTTAGAAACATCATGCTTCCTCTGGAACCCCTTAGAAACACACACCACTACTCTTGCACTAATTGTACGTCAACCATTTACCACCCAAGAGGGCTGAAATACCTAAAGTCTTGGCCTAAGTGTCAACTGGGCGCACTAACAAGTTGGGGATTTGGGAAGAAGTTCAGTATCAGGATCCAATAAATTAATATCTACCAACTAGGATAAAGACGAGAAATAACTGTTGAAATGTTAGAGGAACACATCTTTATGATGAAATGTAATGGTAAATGTACCTAAGTTCATTATTATAAGTTTTGTCTTCTATACCAGGTTTAATCAAATCCAGCATGGAGAACATTTGAACAAAACTGTCAGCATTAATCACCTCTAATTCCAGATCCTGTGGTTCATCCTCTGAGAGTGGAATGACTACAATCTTAGTGATCTTGTAGACTTTATGGTCTCCTGGCAACTGGCCCACCAATGCTTTCTGGCGAATCAGAATCAGGCCCAGAGGAAGATCTGCCCAAAGGGGGGGGGGTCATGAGTACAGAGTTCCACACCTCATTTTCCTGCTCTATCCGGCATGATTCATTCCTATGGCAAACATTCTCATAACAATGACTTCAAAGACATTTGCATTGAGGCGTGATGTAGTCATACTTTCACTGACACGATAATGTAAATCAATAGATAAAAGCGCACCATGCAGGAGGCAACTCGAAGATATTTGGGTGGAAAATTCAATGAGAACAGCCTGGGCTCTTTGTAGGAACGGTGCAAGGAAATATCAGGTTTGCCCATTGGATTAGGTTACAACATAAAGCATGTACAATATGTAGCAAACTCATGTGGCTCATTTATCTGTGCAGTTTGCTCTGAAAGACTGCAACCAAGCATGAAAAGTCAACCAATTATTTTATCCATCAATAACAGTACAAAATGCACCATGCATATAGACATCAGCGAGGGTTTCTCTGAAAAAGGAAGAGAGACCAACATTATAATAACATTATTCATATAAAGTGAACCTGTTAACAACGGACAGAAGTTGACTTCTCATATCAGCCTCTGAGTGGTGAAATGAAAGTATGATGCATGCCATCATTTCACTTCTGTGGAAAAAAAAATCCCTCAAGACCTTCCTTTTTAATGTAGTGAAAAGCATTTGTTTAGTTAACTGGTCTGTATGGAAATAGTTGTCTTTGAGGATCATTTATGAATCCACAATATTTTTTGAATGAGGTACGCTGTAAATGCCATGGCATGTAAATATGTCAATCATTCAACGCCACCGTATTTAACCTGCTAAAGCTACATCATTACAGCTGAGCAACAAATCACTGAAAGACATTTAGCAATAATAAAACAATAAGAAACCAAATTAAGCTGACATTTCTGATGCTGGAGCTGCCTTTCATTATGTTAATCATTATGAGTCTCTGGTACCCAGTTTCTTCCTGCTACAAAGTGAATTACAGTAAAAACAAATGGGAGCAATTGTATCTTTTATTAAATCAATTAAATATGAACGGTATTTTAGCAGTAAAAACATTAGACGTCTGTTTTAGTCCAAGAGTCACCAAATTTATTGCAAACATTACAGTGTAATATAGTATTCTCATCCTTTATACAGTAAATATGCTAGGTCTGATGATTAGACTTACCGGCATGAAGCTGTATTTTTCCAATAATACCTTCTACAAGGCCCAGACAGACAGGATTCCATGCTAGCAGCAGGTCGGTTGCTGAAAGGAGAATAAAAATGCTGAAAAAATTAAAACTTTATTGCATATTTATTATTTTAACACACACATTTGTATTTGTTTTTTCAGTACTGCATCTGGGACAGAAGAACTATCAGAGCTTCATTTGACTTTCTAAGGTTATGTGGCTGCTCACAATTAATCGCAAAAAACTTTCCAAAGCATATCTGAACCAGGTTCCTTACAATGCCGACTGCTGACTTCAGTCACCAACTTGCTGAGTAGCTCCTCTTAAAAGCTGATTGATTGGCATCACCTGCAATGTTAGGAGTGATGCACACGGTCTGAAATGTCATGTACAAAGACAGCATTTTTTGTGGAGCGTCTGGGAATATGGTAGCTTTATGGCTCCTACGATCATCTGACAAATTCAGCTTGGAAGCAGATTCTCTCTGTATTTTTACCGCTGTCCTGCACTCAACCATCAGATGTTCACAGCCTGATGATAGATGGGTGGGAGCTGGATGAGCTGCATCATGAAGTTGCCAAAAACCCTCCATAATGACCATGAGTTTGGTACTGGGGATCATTCCAGTCTGAGAGAAGATCTACTAACTAGGCCATGAAAAGCTGGTACATCCATGGAGTTGAATTATGTCTTGGTACAAGGAAATGACTTAATGTGAGCTAACACCAAATATTAAGAATTTCTGTAATTACAATTTGTAAATACATCAATGTGATCTTACATGTGTCTCTAATAGAAGTTCGAAGTGGATACCCTTTAATTTGACATTAAGGAAGTGTGCCTTTGGATTATAGATAGATTTGTGTCTTGCAAACACACAGCTGTTCACTTCACAAGCCATTAATTGATGGACTGGAGTCGTTTGGATTACTTGCGGATTATTGTGATGTTATGTCAGATGTCCGGACTCTCATTCTGGCATCACCCAAAATTTTCATTTTTGTTTGAACTATTCTTTAATCTGACACACTAAACAAACACGGACTGAATAATAAGCACAGAAGTAAGTACTATAGTGGTATAACCTCACCCAGCCACGCTGGCAACTGTGGCATCATGATGCATATTATTAGGAATTCATTCAAAAGAACCGAGACTGTATGCATCATGCATACAGTGGAAACCCTTATCCAGTTAAATAATGGAACAGCACTGCAACCTAAACCCGATCAGCCTGGCTGCACGCACGTGGGTAAAAACAGCTAGAACTCATCCAAATCTTCACAGGCTGCAGTTTCCCTGACACTCTGAGAGACGGACTACCTGCCCATCTAGATCTAGACTTGACAAGAAATAAAAGTGGTGTGGATAGGTAAATATTTTAAAGGTTGGATAACAAAAGTGTAACAAAAGTTGCTGTGTGAGTGTAAAACACCAGTCATGGTTGAGCATGCAAATCTTTTGGTTTAAAAAAAAAACTAAATGAATATATACAAGACACATTTAAATAATTTCTGGTAAAATGCACACATGCATTCAATACACAGGAGAAATGTCAAAATTGTGTTGGTGCCTAGTAAATTAATGCTTTAACGCCTGGGCAGAAAATTTTCATTTGACTATCTACTGTGCCTGCGTTTTCTCTCCAGACGAACAGTCACATGTCTGACCCTTACTTTAACCATCACCATTTAACTGTGTAACTATATAGGCCTAATTCCCCTGTGCGACATCTAACAGCAATAGCACTGGCCAGCATATTTATAAATACAACAACGATGGACATTTAAATATTTATTTACTACTGACATTTCATATCTGTTTAATTAAGGTCATTTGGCTGTCATTTGTAAGCCCTATAAACTGATTAAATAATATTATTATTCACAGATTTATAGCCTTCACCATTGGGACAGCGTAATGGCAAACTGGGCCCAAAGGTTATCACAATATCAAACAGATATAAATTTTGCTGCAAAAATAAACAAAATATATATTATAAAACATACTATATAAATATGTGCATTTTTATGGTATTGTTTCACTCCAAAGTGAAAATTCTGTCATCGTTTACTCACCCTCATGTTGTATGACTTTTTTCCTCGGAACAAGAAAGGAGATGTTGGGCAGAATTTTAGAGAATAAAAGACTTTCACTAATCACTTTCATTATGTGGAAAAAACGATGAAATGGACGTAGTCATAACGGAGTCTGACAGAGCCTAGCATTCAGACATCTCCTGAGGAAAGTCAGTCATACAGATTTGGAAAAACATGCCGAGTAAATAATGACAGAATTCTCATTTTTATGAGAAATATCCATTTAAGATTCTCATGCTGACATCTAAACGCCCTTGACCAAAACATACAAACCCTCAAACCCCAAAAGATGTCGTAAGAAAAGGGGATTTAGGCAAGACATCCGACCAAAACATCATCTGATTTGTGCACTGACACGCATGTCATGCAAGCGCCGCTGCTTTGAAAGTAGAGCAATGAAAACACAACAACTGGGCATCTTTCAGACAGCTGCCTCGCTCGACAAATATGAAACTGACATTTTTATCTCTTGAACGTCTATACAACTTCACAATGATTCTGAAGAGCCAACTTCTCCTGAAAGGAGCATAAATCCCTCATTTTACCTCTGTTTTGGAACAGCGTATCGTGTCAGTCATCTATTATGCACGAGAAATGGCAACAATGTAGACAGTGAAAACGGAAACATTGAAACACATGTACACTGTATAAGAAAGTGATGGAGTTACAATGCAAGCATTACCCGGTCTCATGGCCATAGATCCATCCTTCCTGCTGCACCACAGCGCGTTATCTCCGCTCTGGAGAATATAATGATCTTTAGCTTGAAACAGCTCCATGTTCACCAAAACATACGAGCTTCCCGACACCACACCGCTGGATTTGTTCCCGATCCGAGAAACGAGGAAATGAAGCAGCTCGTTTTTCGTCCACTGGCTATCCCAATAGACGCCAGCTAACCTGCTAGCTGTGTACTTGTGTAAACGTTTATAATAATCTGATAAAGCATCGTGTCTCTATGTCAGCTACTGGCCGATCATCGAAAATGAATCGGCGGTGCATTTAATGTGAGTTTAATAAGGGCGATACTGTGGTTCGGAAATGTGCCGGTCCGTCTAATATTTTCCACTGAGGGGAGCAGCAGTGACTGATACAATTTCCTCCAGTTATACACACACGTGACTTCCTCCGTCACGCCGAACTGTGACTGAGATGCCCCACCTGCAGTACTTGTTTTGATGTATTGTTTTATGTTAGATCGTTACTTTGCAATTCTATTTTGGAGACACTTATATAAACGATGACCTGTTTCTATAATATAATACTGATGAATACTGTTGTAAAAGTTGCCATTATTCTAGATAAATTAGTTATGTGGGTCTAAATAAGTTAAAATAATGAATCACCCTGTTGAAAAAACCAGCATATGCTGGTTAGGTATGTTTTGACGCTGGGATGCTGGTTTATGCTGGCCCTTTGCTGGTTTATGCTGGTCCTTTTGCTGGTTTATGCTGGTCCTTTTGCTGGTTTATGCTGGTCCTTTTGCTGGTTTATGCTGGTCCTTTTGCTGGTTTATGCTGGTCCTTTTGCTGGTTTATGCTGGTCCTTTTGCTGGTTTATGCTGGTCCTTTTGCTGGTTTATGCTGGTCCTTTTGCTGGTTTATGCTGGTCCTTTTGCTGGTTTATGCTGGTCCTTTTGCTGGTTTATGCTGGTCCTTTTGCTGGTTTATGCTGGTCCTTTTGCTGGTTTATGCTGGTCCTTTTGCTGGTTTATGCTGGTCCTTTTGCTGGTTTATGCTGGTCCTTTTGCTGGTTTATGCTGGTCCTTTGCCAGCACATGACCAGCATAAACCAGCAAAGGACCAGCTTAAACCAGCATCCCAGCGTCAAAACATACCTAACCAGCATATGCTGGTTTTTTCAACAGGGCAGTATGTCGAGCAGTGTGCAAAATTAATTGTGTTCTTTAGTATCATTATTGGGCAACAAATGATTGAATGAATGAAAGTTCCAACTCAAACTGTAGCTAAATCTTGAGGGCCTTGGAGCACAGACTTAAGTTTAGTGTCCAATTAAAGACCACACTTGGCAGATTATTACTTTAGTGAAAAAAGTATAAAAAGCGAAACTGTAGTGTTAAATAAAAGTGAGTTATAGAAGTTTAAGTTTACTGTTATGAAATGTAAAATGCACAAAAATACTATTTTCAAATTGTATATGAAAATATAAACTTTGAAAATCAAAGCCAATACAGCTAAACAAGTTGTGTTCCAAATTTGAGGTTGATATCACAAAAAAAAGTTTTTTTTTTCATAATGTTTTTTGTGTTCACATAGCAAATGCCAAAACCTTTGCCAAGTTTCGTGCCATTTCAGTGAAGTAAAAAAAATACAGGCCCTAACTAACTTTTGAAATGTTGGGAAAAACTCTCTGGAAAACACTCTGTTTTTGGTGATTTGGTGGCTGATTCGTATGAAATTGTACAATCTCATCTGCACGTTTTTCCTACTTTTATACCACTCATTGGCGGGCTGGCGCCATACATGTCAGGCCCTAAAAAATACTTTTTTAGTGAACATTTTAATGTGCACCCCCAGGATTTGTAGTGTGCCTCTCTGGCTACCCCTTTAAAAATTTCCTGGAGGTGCCACTTGCCCCATTGATGGTAAGGTTTGAGATGGGATGGACCTTAAAACATAATTTTTTTTCTAAAAACGGAATGTTTCCATAATATTCATAACATACAAATTCATATGAAATAACCACATAGTAAAATAGTCAAATTTTCTCATGAAATCTGCTTGAAACCAAAATGTAGACCTTATAAACATGCTTTTATAAGACCACCAACCTTTTTGTTTTGACTTTCTTTTTTTATTAATATATTAATAGTAATATAATATAGATTATATTAATTTATATTCTTTGAAACAATCCTAAAATGACTGGAGAGACAGTAGTCAGTGAAGCATTGTTCGCTGTCTGACTGGTAAAGATGTATCTGGCAGTAGGCGTCTTTCCACAACGCCTTTGTACATTACAGACTTTGAAGCCTATCCTAAAAGGAATTAAATGCTATCTAGATGTAATATTATCCTCAATTGTTTACATAATGCCGTGGTCTCATTTTAGTTTTTAAGAAACTTTTCTTCTGCAAATATGCCCAATGGGACTCAATTTTTTACTCTCATTATTCTTTTCTTGACTTTTCTAAGATGAATAGCTCACCTTTTTACTCACTGATTCAGGCTGACCTACATAGCTATACCTCTTTTTTATAACTGGGATTTGTAATTTGTTTGTAAATATTGTTGTTTATTAAAAACAGATGATATTACATTATTTTTATTTTTTATGCTGACAAAGTCTTAATACTGTAAACACTGTAGAATAATATCTTATAAGACATTGGATGGTCCAAGCAGTAGTTATCTTGTTTGTTTCTTCATAAAATGTGTACATTTTCGAAGAAAAAAAAAAAAAGTATGCAACTTCATGTAAGCAAAGTGCTTTATTATATTGTATTTGCAGTCATGCTTATGTCACCATATCATGTCGACATTTTAACAAACTGCAAATAACCAAGCTGTGAACACTTAACATTGCATACTATTTCACAAAACAGACTTAGAAACTGGTTTTGTTCGCAGTATTAGTACGATATCAGTCAAGAGTCAGTAACAGGTCATTAAGATAAAAAAAAGTCTCACAACAGTCATGTGAGACATAGCACTTTGTTTTAAACTGAACTGAGCTGACACATTATACAAAGTCATTTTTGGTACACTAATTTCTAGTCACTTAGAGCAAGTGTTTAAGTTGCCTTCCTCAAGGGCACAATGTTAATAAAATGGGATGATTTTGGTACCTTTCGAGTTCATAGATCACCATAACTTTGGACTGAACCTGGCTGCTTTAACAAACCAGCACCTTAATCATAAGGCGACCATATATTCAGCAAGTTTTTTTAGATTCAACATTTGAACATTCTTAAGTGAACATTCTTAATACTGGAAATGTTGATTTTGGCACAGAAAAAATAGAATAAAAATATATTATCATTTGTATCACTGTCATTCAACAAATAAGAATACTAACAAGCATTCAAACATCATAGGGAATTCTGGCAGCAAAGCTCACTTTCAACAATGAATTATTCTCCTGCATGATGTTCAAATGGTTATATATTTAAAAGGCCATGTCAACTGTTTTGATTCTTATCTGTTCTTGAATTTCTTTAGATCGGGCATAATCTGTTGCTATTTAAGCATGCTTCACTTTGTCAGACAGGTTCTATTTAAGAACCGATTTCTTGATTCAACAGGTCTGGCAGTAATCAGGCCTGGGTGTGGCTAGTGAAATTTAACTCAGCTTTCTAAAATAATGTAGTTAATTGCAGTTCTTTCATGATTTAACAGGAGGGGGCAATTCATTTTTCATGTAGAGCCACGTAGGTTTGGACAGCTTTTTTCCCTTAATAAATGAAATCATCATTTAAAAACTGCATTTTGTATTTACTTGCATTATCTTTGTGTACTATTTAAATTTGTTTGATGATCCGAAACATTAAAGAGTGACAAACATGCAAAAAAATAAGAAATCAGGAAGGGGGCCAACACTTTTTCACACCACTGTATATACCCACACACACCTTCCCATATGCCAAAATTAAAATGAATGCCTTTATATTTTTTGTAGCCCACACATGAAATTTTTTAAAATATGACATCCCACTACTTCATTAACAACTTCTTAAGGAATATTCAAAAACATTTGATCATTCATTCATTCAACATGGTACAAAAGATACTTTTTGAATGTTAAAATACTTTCTTCTGGTAAAAGGCCTCGTTTTCATGTGTTTTTGAATATAATTTGTCACCACTATGTCTTTTGCTACAAGACACTGGCATGGTGAGATTCCACAACAGCAGCATCACATAACAGCACACATGATTGCACTCAGTAAACAAATCACGTTAGATCATTTCCAACAGAAAACTTCAATTATTCATGCATGCAACTAATAATAATTGCGCAAGTAAACACAAGAATGTGGATTTGATTAGTGTTCTTCTCAAATTTGTGCCTTCTTTGTGCAATTATGAAATCTCCTTAACCTTCTCTGTGTTTGCCTGGTCAATCATACTCTGCTCTCCTTTCGCCTCATGGTACGTGTCACCAGCCAGCCTTTCCGTCAGCTCTCCAAACATCTCCAGTTCATCTAGAATGGTTTGAACTCTGCGGACGCCATCCCTCCGAGCCTGACGCACATCTGGGCGACCTTCAGGGTCTACCGAGTCCAGAGCCAGAAGTTCTTTGGTCAACATCTCTTCCAGCATCATGTATCTTTTATCATTCTTCTTCCCATCGAAACTTTTCACATCTTGTGCCAGTTTCTCCACACGTTCCAATATCTGCTGCACTTTGATCAGTCCTGGGTGGCTCAGATCTTGTTCTGGAGTCTCCTCAGGCTGGACTTGTGGGGGTAGGACCTCTTGAGGTGTTTGAGGGGCAGCGGTTTCCTGGGGTTCTGGTGCTGGAGGAAACTGTATGGTAATATTGGATGTCTCTGATACCTGCGGTGACTGTGGTATGGGTTGTTGTGCTTTTGGCTGAGGTGCTTGTGTAGGTTGTTGTTGTTGCGGTTGTACTGGCTGATGATGTATTTGCTGAGGAATATCACTAACTCTTTGAATGGGAATCTCAAATGCAGGCGCTCTGACAATTTCTTCAACTGGTTGTTCAGCTTTAGGTGATATTGCTGTGTGTCCAATGTGTTGCTGGACCTGGCAATGGTAACATATTCTCTTTAGTTGATGAACATTAATGGCTTGAGCTTAAATAAATCAGTGCCTATTAATAAATAACACATGTACCTGGGGTCTCTCTCCCATGATCTGAGACATGACTGGTGACTGGGTCAGTAAGGGGACCGAGATGGGACTGGCAGCTCGATTCTGTTGAATCTGAATGGGCACTTGTTCACGGTAGATTGGCATTTTTTCTCGCATGGGATGAGAACTTTGGCTAGGCTGGGATTGTGAGGCACCCCCTACACCCTCGTGGATCACCAGAATGGGGATGTAGCCCGCCCGGAGACCTGTATTGCTAGGTCGGGGCTGTTGATGAAGGCCACTCATTTGTTGGTGTGTGCCCTGTGGTTGATGAACCTGATGCATATAAAAATACAGTTTGATTTTGGAAATAGCCAGAAATGTATACACTAGCATTCAAAGGTTTGGGATAAATAATATTTAAAAAAAAATAAAAAAAAATACTTTTATTCAGCGAGCAAGCAATAAATTGATCAAATGACAGTAAAGATATAAAAAAAATCTATTTCAAGTATTACTACTACTGTTGGCTCTTTGACAAGTTGCTTTGCTCCACTTTTGTAAGTCACTTTAGATAAAAAAATATTGCAAAATATTTCTGCTTATATATATATATAAGATATATATATATATATATATCTTTTATTAAAATAAATTAACAAGATACAAAATAAAACACTATTTAATAAACTTATTTTGAAAATTCAAAAAAATGTGGGCAAGGGTAGACAAACCAATGTGAAGTGCCACAGTAAATACAGACAGAACATATTCAGCAATAATGTGTTTATATCGCAACTTTTAGCAGCCATAATTTTTTTTAGCAACCTATTAAAGAGTTAGTTCACCCCAAAATGAAAATTCTGTCATTAATTACTCACCCTCATGACGTTCAAAACCCATAAGACCTTTGTTTCTTCTTCGGAACACAAATTAAGATATTTTTGATGGAATCTGAGATCTCTCTGACCCTCCATAGACAGCAACACAACTGAAATGTTCCCAGACAGAAACGTAGCAAGGACATCAGAAAAACAGTCCATGTGACATCAGTGGTTCAACTTTAATTTTGCAAAGCTACGAGAATACTTTTTGTGCGCAAAGAAAACAAAAATAACAAATTATTTAACAATTCTTCTCCCCCGAGTTACGTCTTCTGCCATTTTGGAGAGTACCCAAGAACGTAAATCGGCATTGTTTACGTTAGGGGGGAAAAGCGCGTGCATGAACGTAATCGGCATAATCAGCGTTGTTTACACTTAGGGTAAAGCGTGCGCATGTGTTGTGATACTCTCCAAAATGGCGGAAGACAGTAACTCGGGGGAGAAGAATTGTTGAATAAATTTTTGTTTTCTTAGCTTCGCAAAATTGAAGTTGAGCCACTGATCACATTTCATATGCGTTGCTGTCTATGGGAGGGTCAGAGAGCTCTCAGATTCCATCAAAAATATCTTAATTTGTGTTCTGAAGAGATTTTATGGGATTATTTCACAAAAACATCTACATACCATTATCTCTGGCTTGTTTTTAATATTTGAATATTCTAAAAGTCATTGGTGCAAGTAAAAATATTTTGTTTATGCTGTCTGTAATGCCATTGTTGATAATTGGAGCTTTTTCAATAACCCAGCCAACCACATGCTTTAGTTATTTGCCTTCTTCTGCAAAACAATATAGCATATAGCTACTACATACTTGAGCAAAACCGGACTGAAGAGCATCATCAGAAGTGATGTTGTCGATCAGACGTGTGATGCAGAATATTTTGTCTCATCATTACTTGAGGATACAACAATCGTGAATGCAAATAATGAGATCATTTTGAATAGATCTTTCAATCCTTTTTTTTATTTTTCTTCTTTTTTCAGATTTTTTCAAATGGCCCCTCTATGTCCCCTGAGTCTCCTCAGGACATGCACAAATCCTTTATTCAAGAGATGAGGCAACCAATGCTTCGCCAGGGCTACATCCCCATCCCAGTCTCCCATGAAAACACTGAACCCAGGCTGCAGCAGTATCCGAGTTTCTCCTACATCCACCCAGCAGTGCAGCAAAGTTTGAGAACAGATGGACGTACAGCTTCCCCGACCCCAGCATCCCACTGTCGGCCTAGATCTCCAGTGCAGGCCCCATCGGAAGCATGTTTGTCTTGCTCACCTGCTTTACACGGGCCTGAGGTAAGACCATTAGGAATTGGATTTTTCTATTAGACATAGCAGTCTCTGTCGGGCTATGGATTAATTATGAAAGAATTGCATGAATTCATGTTTGCTTCTGGAGGTTTTATTTATAAGTTTTCCTTGGGCCCTGCCCCTGTGTTTTCTTTTTCAAAGTTTAAAAAAATCGAGTTTAAAGGGATAGTTCACCCCAAAATGACAATTATGTCATTAATTATTCACCCTCATGTCGTTCCAAACCCGTAAGACCTCCGTTGATCTTCAGAACACAAATTAAGATATTTTTGATGGAATCTGAGATCTCTCTGGCCCTCCATAGACAGCAACACAACTTAAATGTTCCCAGACAGAAACGTAGCAAGGACATCAGAAAAACAGTCCATGTGACATCAGTGGTTCAACTTTAATTTTGCAAAGCTACGAGAATACTTTTTGTGCGCAAAGAAAACAAAAATAACAAATTATTTAACAATTCTTCTCCCCCGAGTTACGTCTTCTGCCATTTTGGAGAGTACCCAAGAACGTAAATCGGCATTGTTTACGTTAGGGGGGAAAAGCGCGTGCATGAACGTAATCGGCATAATCAGCGTTGTTTACACTTAGGGTAAAGCGTGCGCATGTGTTGTGATACTCTCCAAAATGGCGGAAGACAGTAACTCGGGGGAGAAGAATTGTTGAATAAATTTTTGTTTTCTTAGCTTCGCAAAATTGAAGTTGAGCCACTGATCACATTTCATATGCGTTGCTGTCTATGGGAGGGTCAGAGAGCTCTCAGATTCCATCAAAAATATCTTAATTTGTGTTCTGAAGATCAACGGAGGACTTACGGGTTTGGAACGACATGAGGGTGAATAATTAATGACATAATTGTCATTTTGGGGTGAACTATCCCTTTAAACTCGATTTTTTTAAACTTTGAAAAAGAAAACACAGGGGCAGGGCCCAAGGAAAACTTATAAATAAAACCTCCAGAAGCAAACATGAATTCATGCAATTCTTTCATAATTAATCCATAGCCCGACAGAGACTGCTATGTCTAATAGAAAAATCCAATTCCTAATGGTCTTACCTCAGGCCCGTGTAAAGCAGGTGAGCAAGACAAACATGCTTCCGATGGGGCCTGCACTGGAGATCTAGGCCGACAGTGGGATGCTGGGGTCGGGGAAGCTGTACGTCCATCTGTTCTCAAACTTTGCTGCACTGCTGGGTGGATGTAGGAGAAACTCGGATACTGCTGCAGCCTGGGTTCAGTGTTTTCATGGGAGACTGGGATGGGGATGTAGCCCTGGCGAAGCATTGGTTGCCTCATCTCTTGAATAAAGGATTTGTGCATGTCCTGAGGAGACTCAGGGGACATAGAGGGGCCATTTGAAAAAATCTGAAAAAAGAAGAAAAATAAAAAAAAGGATTGAAAGATCTATTCAAAATGATCTCATTATTTGCATTCACGATTGTTGTATCCTCAAGTAATGATGAGACAAAATATTCTGCATCACACGTCTGATCGACAACATCACTTCTGATGATGCTCTTCAGTCCGGTTTTGCTCAAGTATGTAGTAGCTATATGCTATATTGTTTTGCAGAAGAAGGCAAATAACTAAAGCATGTGGTTGGCTGGGTTATTGAAAAAGCTCCAATTATCAACAATGGCATTACAGACAGCATAAACAAAATATTTTTACTTGCACCAATGACTTTTAGAATATTCAAATATTAAAAACAAGCCAGAGATAATGGTATGTAGATGTTTTTGTGAAATAATCCCATAAAATCAGGAGCTAGATCATCTTTCCAATGATTAATCTGAACTGTAAAATGAAATAATGGTATTGTTAAACAGTATACATCACACTCAGCCACAATGGGGACAAACTTTTGGGAGTTAGCTAAACTTTGACAAACATAAAGAGTGAAATGGAGCATAACTAACAAGCACAATGTCTAATATTCAAACTCATGCATTATCAGTTATGATGATACACATTTTTTAACTAAAAGTCACTCTTCTATTAGACATAGATATGACACGTTATGTGTTGATTAACAGTATTTTACACCTGCTACATTTTTCCTATTAGCGTCACATCGCTGTCAAGTTGTAGGCTTTTACAACTAGTCCCACTCAGTTACATGCGAATTCCACCCGTTGTAAATCTGCCTAATGTAAAATGATATTAAACATTATTGCAGGCAACCAACCAACATGCTAGTGGATTCAGTCACCGTTTCTGTAACACTCAATTTGAACGCGTCTCGCGTCTTCTCTCCTCATCTGTTTGACACGCAAAGGTCAGTCCGCCCTCTCTCAATGACGAGGCAGTTCAGGAACAAACATGAAACATGAGTGGGTAAAAACTCACTGTGCACAGCAACTGTTAAGCGATGGCATTGGCTTACAGGATATACCCTGTATGCTGTCGATTCTAACGCCATGACTCACTCTATGTAGCATTTTTCAATGGGTTCCTGTGCTGTTGACACGGTGTCTTAAAATACTCTTTGTGAGGGGGAGGGCCTCCCTTACTCATCCATGTAAATCAGAGTTACACAGACACAACAAACATCAAAAGAGATAAAATCCCTAACAAATCATCACGAAACACCTATTCTGATGTTGAAACAGCAAAGCAGCTACATCCTTTAAGACAGGGAAGCAATTATTCCTGAATGAAGAGATGGTCACATCTAATGTTGGCTCTGCGAAAACTTCGCAAGCGAAATCCAGTCATTTCAATTGGAATTGCGAAAAAGTTTCCCATGCAGATTTCGCTCATGATCAGTTTGGTCACATGATTCATTGTGTTGACTAACAGAAAGCCGCTCGGTTCGAAAGCGACAGCTTCATTAATCGCTACACTACCAAAATTGGCAATGGAATTTTTTGCTCACGAAATTCCACTGAAATGTCGCCAAGTTACAAGCTAAACTTATACTAAATGCTAAAGTTAAGAAGCTGAAGTTCACCTACTCGTTTCATTTTCCTTCCCAAATTAAAATATAATGTCTTGTACAGGTCTAAATATACAAGCACATTAATATGGCAATATATCCATGTTATTATAGGACAAGCTTAAAATGCAACACATCTGAGTCCTGGGCCTGAAAAAGGTCAAAGATGTATGATTTAAGGTTTACAATGTAGTTTTACTAAACGGATTAAAAACCAAGATTCTAAACTGAGAGAATAGTCGACTGGAGACGGTGTTTTCATACTCTGATATTGCTTCGCTCCCGAATATTGTGCCATTACAGCCGCTACAGACGCTTTTAAGGGTCCGTTTGATGACGTACTGTAAACGGGGGGGGACGGGTTTCTCGAAGCAGCAAGGTCCCTCTGAAGACTACCGAGAAAGTTCTAGCTGAGGGTTCACTGTGACGCCCACGTGTGTGACCAAAAATGATTTATTACCCCTTGACTGTCCAGACACAGATCCTCTCTGATGCTTTAATCGCCTCCCTCTTTATTAGACCGAGCACACTTGTTGCTCTTTTAACCTAAAGACAGTCATATTGATACATTTCAAGGAAAACCTGTCTGACCTTCTTTCCATTTTGCTTCTACAATCCGAAATTATTTGAGGAGGCAGCATAATCCCTGGGTTGTATCTATATATGAAATAGAGTAATCTGTCATTTTTAATACAATGAAATAATGTAAATTATTAATACAAAACATTTTTTGGGACTGAAACCATGTTTGTGTCACTGCTAATCGTGGGAAGTCAAATTCCTGGATATTTCTATATGTGAAATAGAATAATTTATCAAATGTAATACTAAAAATAAAACAATTTAGCAGATGTGCGGGCGCGCACACACACAATATTAACAAAACATTTAAAATTTTCTATCACAATACACATGGGGGGAAATACATGTTAATTTCTGAATAATATTTCTGCAGTATAATCAGTACACTAATAATCACTAAAATATTACCTGGGTTCAGTGCGTCTCTATATCTGCGTGCCCTGCCAATATGGCTTCTACAATCCGAAATTATTTGAGGAGGCAGCATAATCCCTGGGTTGTATCTATATATGAAATTGAGTAATCTGTCATTTTTAATACAATGAAATAATGTAAATTATTAATACAAAACATTTTTTGGGACTGAAACCATGTTTGTGTCACTGCTAATCGTGGGAAGTCAAATTCCTGGATATTTCTATATGTGAAATATAATAATTTATCAAATGTAATACTAAAAATAAAACAATTTAGCAGATGTGCGGGCGCGCACACACACAATATTAACAAAACATTGCAACATTTTACATTTTCTATCACAATACACATGGGGGGAAATACATGTTCATTTCTGAATAATATTTCTGCAGTATAATCAGTACACTAATAATCACTAAAATATTACCTGGGTTCAGTGCGTCTCTATATCTGCGTGCCCTGCCAATATATTACTTCTTGCCAAAGACAGGTATTCATTGGAGCTCTAACAAGTGGTCACTCAAAACAAATAAAATAGACTGAAATGAAAGCATACCAATACATAACCTGCAAGGTCATATAATTAAGTAAGATACCTGTGATACATGATATATTCAGACATGCATTTACACAAACACTGTGATTTTGTCAAACTCTCCTTTCCCGTCAGATCCATCGCCCTCCAAAACCGGCTACTTCTGCGCATGCGCAGTGACTGTCTTCCTGACTAGCCAGGTTCCGCCATTTTCTACTCAAGATTGAAAGTAACACCAGTCCAGTATTGTTCGTCCTAAAAATAAACTACATCTGAGATACTGAAAACAAGTTTTGATAGCACTCCTTCCGGCATTCAAGAATGGAAGACGAGAGCCACCCCAAAACCCTGTAAGTAGCTGAAAACACAAACCCTGTCAAGTGCTCAGTGAAGAACCGCTCAGTCCACAGCACTACTGACACACTTCTAACAGCTAGCTCCAAAAACGACGTCCTACCAACGTTTTTGACATCATGTGCTGTTAGTAATCACTGCTTATAATAGGTAGAGTTTCGGTCAGTCATTATTTCACCTTCCTTACAGCAGAAAGATCGAAAAGCTTTCATATTTTTCCGGCAATTGTGGGAAACATTTGTAGCCGTAGCATGCTTAAGCTAAGCTAGCGGCTAATTAGTCAAAGCGGCTATTCATCAAAACAATTAAATGCAAGGCAAATATAAAGAGCATAGCTACATTTGAATTGTATTTCATAGGTTATGGTATACGAGTTTAATATGTACACCAATAAACCATCATATCTAGTGGCAATGTGTTTGAACGAGTATGTCATTGTCTGCTGTTTTAGTAAAGGCCTGTTATCTAATCTCAGGCCTGCCGTCTTTTCTAGAAGTATGCATTTTGTGTTTGGTACTACAATGTAGGATAAAAATCTGTCGTGAAATAGCTCTTTGTTTAACTGTCGCACGTAGTTTCAGTAGTTTAGTAATGTGTGTTCCCGTCCTGAGGTAATTTGGGCATAAAGGGGCTGTCAGATCAATGCCTGGCTCATGTATAAATGCACCTTTTTTGGAAAACATCTGAAGTAGATGATCTGATTAAAATGCAAAAGAATCATATGTGATATTATGTTCTTGAATTATGTGGGCAATCTGTAATTACTGTTTATATCTTTTTAATATATGTTTTTTCTGTATTTTCAGCTATGTGGGGAATCTTTCAAGAGATGTAACAGAGAACTTGATCCTTCAGTTGTTTACTCAGATTGGGCCATGTAAAAGTTGTAAAATGATAACCGAGGTAAACATCCATCACAAATTACAATTCAAATGTTCCCTGAAATGTTTTTTAGTTGTTCAGTGAAAATGGCTTTGTGTGGAAATGCCTGTCAAACTCTACATTAGCATTTATATTTGGGATAAATTTGCTTTTAAAATGATCCTTGACATTTTCTTAAAATCACACAAAATGACGACAGAAAATATTAAACCGTCTTCCACACAATACCCATGAATTTGCAATAATATATTTTCCTGGCTTTTCTTCTCAGCAGTCCGATAGCAGCAGGAAGGTGAACTCTATTGGATTTTCTGTTTTGCAGCATACTAGCAATGATCCGTATTGCTTTGTGGAGTTCTTTGAACACAGAGATGCCGCAGCTGCTTTGGCGGCCATGAACGGAAGGAAGATTTTGGGAAAGGTATATCTTGTGGCATTGTTTCATTCGACAAGTATAACAAGATGAGTGTGTTTTGATGTTTATTGTGAAGCATTGCACCCAGAATATCATATTTCCAAAGATAATGCCATCAAATGGTATATTTTATTAACAGGAAGTCAAGGTAAATTGGGCGACCACTCCTAGCAGTCAGAAGAAAGACACATCCAGTAAGTTCTTTTGTATTATGTATATAGTGGTTGTTTTTTCAGGTTAGATTTTCTTAAATGTAGTAACGTGTTAAATGTCATTCTTCTGTAGATCACTTTCATGTTTTTGTGGGAGATTTGAGCCCTGAGATCACAACCGATGACATCAGAGCTGCATTTGCACCCTTTGGGAAAATCTCGTAAGTTCCCAGAAGTCACACCCTTTAGTGGAATGCATTTTGTCTGAATAATGTCAAGTGGTGGTATGTGGTAATCGATATATACATTTTTTTTTTACCCCTGTTTTCCTAAAACCATGGAAACTGTTTCAAAAGTTTTTATTTATTTAAAAATATTTTTACTAATTTTGCTAAGAAATTGATTCAATGATAAACATTTATTTTATATTTGTCATTTGTGCTGGGATTAGCACATTTTGTCACATTTCTGTCAGTAATGAAACCTTTATATAAAACACTTAGATGTCTACAGGTTTGTCACAGCAGTTGAGAATAGGATGTCAGTGTTTTAGAGACCATAATTTTGGTTTAAATTTAATATTTAAAGGTGGGGTAAGCGATTTTTCAAAAACGCTTTAGAAAACTGATTCGGGCCGAATAGCAAAACAAACTTGATGTGGAGTAGAGAGCCTTCAGTGCACAGGACGGACCTTAGCCGAGCCGAGCGACAGAAAGATAGAGATGGCGAATAAAAAACAACGGAACAAAAGAAGGCTTAAGGCAAGAAGTAGGACCCGTGTAAATATCGGATCAGCTTTCCAGCGCTGGAGAGAACTCAAGGAGCGGAAGGCCTGCGATCGGACGCCAAGTTTGCTTTGTTTCTTCTCCAAAATCACACCATAGGTGAGTAACACCGTGTCTGCGCCGCAACAGCTAAAGTCTGTCTAGTACACTGGACGCGACAAAGCGACCATTGAAAATCATTTGAAATTTGTGTCAATACATCATAAATAGAATGCAACAGCAGTTTTCTGTCTGGGATTTGTCGTGTCGCGCCGTCACGGTGTAACATTGGTTTTGCTTTGTTTCACAGAACTAATCGTTGCCTGGGTTGCATACGTATGTGTGGGGCGGAGCTTTTAAAATAGGGGCGAGACCCTTTTGGGGTAAGGACGTGTTTGTTTTGGTGATTTCAAATTTCAACATTGGCTACCAGAAATCGCTTACCCCAGCTTTAATTGCATTGATGATTTTAATAGTCCCATAATGGGTATTATCAGCAAGCACAAGGCAGTATATTCAATATTGTGTCTCTGGATCGATTTAAAGTGCACCTTAAAAACATTTTCATCACTAATCTCCACTGCTTTTCCGAAATTGGTAAGTAGTTTTGATTTACCTAAAAAGTAAAATTTTTAGTTCTCAACACAAAAAAACATGATACACTGATACTCTGCAAAAGTCTCCTTTAGCTCTGAGTGTCAGTTAATAGAGCTCTGGTTATTTTACAGAAATGCTCATAGGATTGGACAGGAGCTTGAAGGCTAACAGCAAGGAACTGTGCACTCTGGGAACTCAGATGTAGATTTTTTTCTATTTACTCTTTGCTTTTCATATTTGTATACTGCAGTATTTTCCTATTAACGCTGACGTAGTGTAGACTTTTAACAAACCTCAGATAATTCATGAATATTTGCTTGTACAAATTGTTTTATGATGGTTTTCCTAGTTGTGTTGATAGTTTGATTCTCCTAAAATTCTGAAAATGTTAATTTCTCGAAATTTGCAGCTTCCCAAACTCCATATTGGTGGTAAAGAATTGACCAGGAAAAATAAAGAAATCTGTTAACAGGCCATGTATGCCGTTTAATTCCTTTTTCTCTTTTGATATTTCTATGTACTCTTGAGTAGAATTAGAAACAGCTGTTGAAGTTAGGAATGCATGGTAATGACATTGATGATATGAGAGATTAAGTACTAGTGATTAAGATGAAGATTGGATCATTATGTTGTGTCACAGGAAAAGTTGAAATCTTTGCAGGAGCTTTTAAATATACATGCAGTAGTGTAGGTTGCATGACATTGTACTTTGTTTTTATTTCATATATATTTTTTAAAGTACCAGTAATCAAGAGAATATTATGCAGAAGTTGTTAGTGTAAAGATTTTTTAGAGCAACTTAGGATATTATGACAGTGTCTCTCAGTACAGTACAGTGTGTGTGGTTGCTTTCTTTTTAAGATCCTCTAGCAAGCCATCAGCGGACTGACTTTTCCGTCGTTACGTTTTTCTTGCAGGGATGCACGAGTGGTGAAGGATATGACAACAGGGAAATCAAAGGGGTATGGATTTGTGTCCTTCTATAACAAACTGGTAAGGCTCCAGTACAGGAACACAGAGTGAAGGTTATTCTATTTCTGTTTACTACATTTCATATTATAGCTGTAGTATTACAGATATTCAGCCTACTGGAATGAGTCATACTGTTAAGAGTTGTTTTCTGTTTGAGTGTAAGATTTTAGTCAGTTTAGTAGTAGTAATTGAAAGCAAACTAGGACATTTATGTGGGAAGTTCCTAATTATACAGAGGAACTAATGAAAGACTAGAAGTGTTGCTGTGAGATTATATTTTTGTTTTGCTTTAAGTTTACATTTGTTTGTTTGTTTGTTAAATCTGTCGTTTCTTCTTTTCTAGGATGCTGAGAATGCCATAGTACACATGGGGGGTCAATGGCTTGGTGGACGGCAAATCCGGACTAACTGGGCAACTCGCAAACCTCCAGCCCCCAAGAGTGTGCAAGACAGTAAGCCAGATTTTGATCCACTCTGTCTTTTATTTGTTTACCACCGTTAGAGTTGAGCTGAATTACCATGACTGAATTGGTAAAATTTCAGACAGCTCCAAGCAGCTGAGATTTGATGAGGTGGTGAACCAGTCGAGTCCTCAGAACTGCACCGTGTACTGCGGTGGCATTCAGTCAGGTCTCACAGGTACATCTGCACTTGCCCTTTTACTTTCCCGTTCTGAGTATGAGTATGCATGCTCACTCTTAGTGCATTGTCATGTGACTTATACTGTTCTCTTCAAACAGAACACCTTATGCGACAGACGTTTTCTCCTTTCGGGCAGATAATGGAGATCAGAGTTTTTCCAGAGAAGGGTTATTCTTTTGTCAGGTATCATTCAGCTATTCCTGTTTTTAGTTTCTTATATTTAAGAAACAGTCTGTCCACAGTCTGTGTGTAATGTAAAATATTGTGGAAGCACCATATTGCAAGACATTAAAGGATTAGTTCACCCCAAAATTCTATCATTAATTACTCACCCTCATGTTGTTCGAAACATGCAAGACCGTCGTTCATCTTCGGAACACAATTTAAGATATTTTTGATGAAATCTGAGGGCTCTCTGACCCTCCCATAGACAGCAAGGTAAATCCCACATTCAAGGTCCAGAAAAGTACCAAGATGATCGACAAAGTAGTCCGTGTGACATCAGTGGTTCAACTGTAAAGTTACGAAGATACGAGAATACTTTTTTGCACAAAGAAAACAAAAATAATGACTTTATTCCACATTTTCGTCTCTACTTCATTACTTTGTACGTGCGTTCACGACAGTATCATGACGCGAACGAGCGTGTGGCAGCGCTGACCCAGATCCGGTGTAATGACGTCACAGGACTACTTTGTCAATCATCTTGGTACTTTTCTGGACCTTGAACGTGGTAGTTACCTTGCTGTCTATGGGAGGGTCAGAGAGCCCTCAGGGTTCATCAAAAATATCTTAAATTGTTTTCCGAAGATGAACGAAGGTCTTACGGTTTGGAACAACACGAGGGTACATTTATATAACGCTATTCTGGGCACTCAAAGCGCTTTACATAGAAAGGGAGAATCTCCTCAACCACCGCCATTTCCAAAGAAATCTCTTTATTAATTAATTAATTATAATGAATCTCATTATATACCATTTGTACATAATAATAATAGTAAGAATGTAGTGATGGAAAATGCAAAATACTGAAATTGAAAAGGCGTCAGCCTAATATTTCACTGTTTTGCCAACAGGGGGCAGCAAAAAATAAAAAAAGAATCAGTCATGCTCTTAGCCTTGTTACACATCTAAGGCTTTGAAAAAAATCAAATGTTCAAAAGTCTGTGGCCAGTAATTTGTTTTTTTTAAAAGAGCAAAGACACATTAAATTGATCAGTCATGTATAATGTTACAAAAGATTTGTATTTTAAGTAAATGGTGTTTTTTTGACCTTTCTATTCAAGGACCCTGAAAAAAATATCAGTTTCTTTAAAAATATTAAGCTGCACAACTGTTTTTTACATTAATAATAAGAAATGTTTCTAGTTTCTGTATTATTTCTGTTATGTGTTATAAATTTGTTATTTTTAAAGGGAGCATCAAGATTTAGTTAGGCACATGGTGACAAAGACAGTCCTAATTTTTTTGTGAACAATAGGATTGCTGTGTTCTTCACATTTCTTCATACACCAGCATCATTTTCTCTCAGGTTCTCCTCTCATGAAAGTGCTGCTCATGCCATCGTCTCAGTGAATGGAACCACCATCGAAGGTCATGTTGTGAAGTGCTACTGGGGCAAAGAGTCACCTGACATGGCCAAAAATGTCCAGCCGGTAATTCTTGTGAATTTGCTTTATAATTACCATAATCTCATTTTAATGTGTTATTAAATCCTTCCCATACAGACATTGTTTAAATCAGGCCAGTGTGTGTTTTTCATCTAGACGCACAAGTTAAGCTCAAGTTCTTGATGCTGCATTCACAGATGGAGTACGGTCAGTGGGGACACTGGAATCAAGTGTACAGCAATCCTCAACAATACGGTCAGTACATGACGAACGGCTGGCAAGTGGGCTGGCAAACATGGAATCAGCAAGGATTTGGTGTAGAGTGAGTTTTCATGTATTTCTATGTGTGTAATCTATCATGTTGTACCTATGCAGAACTTGTGGGTATGTTTACACCTACTTTTTGTTGTTCCAGACAATCACAGTCCCCGGCCTGGGTGGGAGGTTTTGGGACGCAACCCTCTCAGGCTCAGCCTGGCCCAGTGATGAACCAGGCTAACTTTGGCATGGCTGGATACCAGACGCAGTGATCTGACCTTGGTTCTTCATAACACACGGCTCTCACTTCTTTAGATCCTGCTCTCATAGGGAGGGTTGCTAAAGACTGATAGGTGCACATCATCTTTTTCCCTACAAGCTTTGGATCTGAAGCAGGAATTGCTTTATTGTAAAGATTCAAATTTAGATTAAAGAGGCAATTGAGATAAGCTCCTTCAATGGAAATCTGAAATCATTCACAAGAATTGTTCCTGTTTTAGTGGAATTGGAGAAGATGTATTGTATCGCTTGCCCCCCGCCCTTTTTTTACTGCATATCTTGAGGAAAACTGCTGATCTTTCCCTTAAATCCCAGCTTCAGGAACTTCACAGGTACATTGCAGAAAGCCCGTGGTGTAAATGGTTTTTTGAACTAAGTATTTTCTTTTTGTTTTTTTCTCTCTTCCTAAATAGCTGATCATGCATTTGCTTGTTCATTACAGTATGGATTTTGTACAAAAACACATCAAACAGCAGAAAAGAAAAAAAAAAAACATTTCATTCTGCATTCTGACTTGGCAAACAAATGTAAGTAAAGGCACTTTTTGGGGGTTCATTGGACCTGTGTCTTGTAAATGTTGACGTGTAAATGAATTTCTATGTGCAGTGGTGTGTATATATAATCCACATTAGCTCCCAGTTCTCCTCCAATACTAGAGCTCTTTGATACCGTGTGTAAAATGTATCTTTTTACTCCAATTTACAGACAGTGAAATCTCTCCCGTTCACTATGGAGAAAGGGCCATAATGGCCATACCTGTAAATATCTTTTGATATCTTGGCCTGGAATAAGGGTTTCAAAGCATGCACTCTACTTGACGACTTTTGCAGAACAAAAGCAGCGTAGCGTATGTTAGACAAACGTTACATGTGACTGACATTTACAAGCAAGCCTTAATTTTTGCTCAGTCACATATACTTCAGTTGAACACTTTGAGACCCTCGTAGAGAGCTGTGTGATTTATCTTGGAGCCTACTGTAAATTTGTCCCTTTGCTGTTTTAACAAATATGCGTGCCATTTTTGAGTAGCCAGAAAAAAGGATGGATTTTTATTCCCCCTGGGGATGTTAAGAAATTGCATGTTTCAAACCATAATATTGAGGTTGCTCAAAGCATTGAATGTAAAAGGCAGAAACGTTTTAATACAATTTAGCATTTCGAGTTTTCTTTTTAGTCTAAATGAGTCTCAATAAATGAACCATTGGACAAGAAACATTGTTCTCTTCCTTTTTTCTAAACTGAATTATGGCCTGGTTTCAACAGCGCAAGTAACAACCATTTGTTTTGCCATTTCAATTATTTATTTGCTTACAATTAATGTCAATTAGGAGAGAAGAAAGAGATAAATATTACGTAAATATAAATATCTTTTAAAATATACAAGCAATATTGTTCCAAGATTAATGTATAAACTATACTAGTCTGTTTATACACTGATATGCTTCACACTATAAAATACATTTACAAGAGGTTCATATCGAGGTAAAGAAAGATTAAGTAAATCATCGTTAAAAGTATATATTAACTTTCCAAAGACTAATACACATTGCACTGATGACTTTTCATAATATGTCAAATGTAACACAGTGACTATCCTCACTAAATTTAGCTCTCAGCGAAGTCTCCATACTGTATGACTGGAAAGAATATGTTAGCCACGAGATTACAGGAAAATTTGTTTCATAAGAACTAATAGTAATCATGAAAATGAGTTCTTCAATAGGAAGGAAGATCTGAAGAATAGTTATCATTAGCCTGATATAGTTGAAACTCGAGGGAATGTATTTTACACACCACAATACATCAATTACACTGTGCTTAACATTACAAGTGGAAGATAATCCGAATGTCAATCATATTACCTCTTATAAATGCCACAGTAACTGCACATGTATATAAGTCAGTATGGAGAACAGATACATTTCTGTGCCGCTGGTAACAGAGTACTACATCTATTCTACAGTAATACCTTCCTCTCTACGGTCTGTTTATCCACAGACCAGGCTGAAACGAAGCCAATTATTAGTCAGTTTGAAACTCAGGTTTTGATGAATCAGTGATGTGCAGAACTACTGTTCTCAGTGACGACTGGCCATCCGACATCTGGGTACAAACGATTCCTCGTATCCCCCATCGGACCAGCTAATGACCAGGATGCTGGTCCCAGGTTTACCTGAATATTCCCTCCTGAAGCCGGTCTTGATTCCTGTCACAATACAGCAGCATAGCTTTATATATTTTCTACAATATACGCATGATTCGTGTATTTAACACCCTAAAACCTTTAGTTATTTATTTGTAAATTAAAATGTGTATTGTATATCTTGAATCATTTAAAGTATGATGTCGTAACTTCCATAGATCTAAAAACTCACATCATCTCTAGTCGTCTGCCTATCCGTGTCTTTGTTGTCTGTGTTGAATGTTTGAAGTCTCACTTTCTCCATGATAACATCCAGTTTGGACGATATAGTGATCACAGCATTTTCAAGCTGAGCAACTTTGTGAACCAGCCTGGAATGGAAAGGCAAAAATAACCATCAAGTCAGAAATGCACTTACAGTGTGAAATTTATGTTTATTCAAATTAAACATGAACAGTGTTGTTACTGTTAACTCAAACTCAAACTAAAAACTGGAATAATACATACATTTAAAAAAAAAAACCTTGGAAATGGCTGAGAAACCCAGTGATTCTGAACACAAACCTCTGAAAGACGTCTGGAGGAACTGTCTTCTCGCTGTGTTCCTCTGCTGATTCAACACTGTTTTCAAGTTTATGAAGCTCTTCACTGAGTGCATCCTAATAAAAAAAAAAATTAATATAAAAAATTCTGACTCCATATTAGATTAGTCACAATGAAGGAATATGAACTTGCCAAATCAGCCAAAGTGTAAAAAAAAAAAAAAAACACACCCTTTTTTCCTCCAGCTCTTGTTTCATTCTCTCCTGTTCCTGCTTGTCCAAAGTCTGGTTCCCATCTTGGTCAAATCTGGAGAAAGCGGCTGAGATCTCATGGTCAGCATGACCCATTCTGAAATGTGGGACACACAACCAGAATACATGAGTTGTTCCACACCGTTGTTGCTACTATACGTGAATGTGTTAGTATTTCACCTGAGACTTACTCTTTCAAAGCATCCCTGAAATCTTTAAACTGCAGCTCACTTGAACCTGAATCCAGGGCTTTCTGAACATCAGAGATCTTTTCCTTTTTAAGTTTCAGTTTCATGACGGTTTTCTCATAACTCTGAAATTAAAGCATCATTTCCCACATGCATTTAAACCGTCAAATCACAACAGTGTTGGTTTTTGTAGTGGTTACACAGCTTTCCAAACATAAATTTAGCAGATTTGTAGATGATGTACTATCTACTGCATGCACTGGGATGACTCACCTGTTTGATGAGATCTGCAATCTGGAACTCATCTTTCTGAGAAGCGAGTTCTGACTTCACCTCAGAGTATGTGTCATTGATGATGGCCAGAAACATGTTCTGTTCAATTCAACTTATCAAGTTAATTGATAAACAGGCACTTATGATTTAGAACAAACAATTATTTCATCACATGCACATAAAGAACTTACCAGTAACACAAAGAAGACAAAGAACACATAGGAGAAAAAGTATATTGGTCCAAGTACTCTGTTTGCCCTGTCAATGGCATCATAATCGAAATCCCCGAGGATGATTCGAAATTGTGTGAAACTGCAGAAAGGAGAAATAAAAGATTCTGAATGTCCCAATAAACAACAACAACAACAAAAAACATAAAAAATGTGTTTTATATGTTTCACCCTTACATGCACTTGTTAAATGTGCTGAATGTTTCAACTTCCATTCCAAAGAGCAGGTAACCCAGCTGAGCATATGCAAAAAACACAATGAAGAACATAATGGCGAATCCGAAGATGTCTAATGCACAGCGAGCCAGGGTGGATGTAAGCTGGGTCATCGTCTTACTGAAACTGATGTACTTGAAGATCTGCAAATATTGAAGCCATCAACATATCAAAATGGGTCACTTTAATTATCCTGTATATCTGAAACTTCACCTTACAGTGTATGTATGCATACTTACCTTAATCCAAGCAAAAAACAAATTGACTGCATTCATGTTGTTGTATTGAGTTTGCCAAAATGCCAGAAACTCAAAATCAGCATAGATGTCAGGTTGTTCTAGAAGGTTTCCAAGTAACTCATCCACTTTGATGGTCCGAAACGCACTGAATACTATTGCCACCACAGCAAGCTGTTAAAAAAACACACAGTTACTGTCAGAGTCTGCTTTTGTCAAATAATGTTTCCCAAATCATATGATGATTTGTTGATTATTATGGCTCGAATACTTGATACTGATATGATCTGTTTTCCTCCTACCAGTATGACCACTATATCTAGTATGTTCCAGATGCTGTTGAAATGGGACAGTTTGTGGATTCGGAATTCCAGAATCTCCTCCACAATGTAATAGAGTATGAAGACGCAGAACAAGATCTCGCAGCCGATGATGAAGAAATCCCACGTGGTGACGTAACGAATCAGCTTTACAGTACGGATCTGGTAGGATGGAATTGCTCCACCGGTAGCTGGAAATTCAACTGCTAATCTGAACAAAGAAGAAGAAAACAATTGTTTATTTTTTTAGTTTTAAACAAATGTAATGCAATAAAATAATACATTACATCAGATTACTATTTTAATATTGTATATATATTTATTTAAATGATAATAAATGCCTTGTACATTGAAAAGCACAGTTTATGTTAAATAACAGATGTAGAAATATAATTATTATTGATATTATTGACTAACCTTGCGAACCAGAGCAAATATATAAATTTGCACATGCAGAACAAGAGCAAAACATGTTGATTTAGGTCAAGTAGGCCTACCTTATAACGCAGAAGAGATTGATGTTGGCATTGTATGCAGTGAAATCAATGAAAAGAACCCGAGTTCCACGATCGAGCCACAGGTTGTCTTTGAGGTCCGTCAGGATAGCAGCGCTCTCTTCTTTGGTCTTTGCCAGGTCTTGATAATATCCTGCTCCGCTGTATGTGGTCAGTAACCCCCAGTGGTTCGACCCTTTGATCTCTTTTTCAGAGTGGTACTGCCAGCTGAAGAATAACGAGATTATACTGAATAAAGAAACACATTTCACCCCCTGAAGAGAGAATCATAAATGTCACTCACGCTGTTCCGTTGATCAGTCCAAACACGCTGTCATCCTCTTTCTTGTCGCTGTACACATCAAAACACTCCTCGATCTCCTGCTGGAAGTCTTTATGCACCTTGCAGGAGTTGTTTTTCACTTTGAGCTGTCGAATGCGAGGGACTCCTAACAACATGTTCTCGTAGTAAATGAAGGATTGATTTCCATTCGGAAGAGGCTCATCGTTATACCACTTTGTCCAGTACAGGCTGTCAAGTAAGGGGCCCTCCATGTACTGCAAAGATTATCAAAAATGATAGTCAGAGGGACTGTGATGCTGTACTGGATCTGTCCCATGAACAGAAAAGCATTATGATGATGTTTTTAATACTAAATAAACATACTTAAAACTACACAAATATTATATCAATAAAATAACAAAACATTAAAATGCTTAAATAAATAATACATGATTTACATAAAATAGTATATATTTGTATATAATATATTATTAGCCAATATAAAAATATCAGCAACACTCAGAACATAAAAGTTATTTTGACATCATTTTTTAAAGCTACTACTAAAAATGCCAAAAATGCACAACAAAATTAAAACGGTTTCAAAATACTGATTAAAGCTATATTATCATAGTTTTTAATCGATATTTTGAAACCATTTTTAGTAGTTTTTTTAATAGTTTTTGGAAACCATTTTTAGTAGTTTTTGGAGTTTATATATAGACATAATCAAACTTAATTAAAATCAGAAATGCAACTAGCTGAATTAAAAGTGGTTTTTTTTGTTATCGTTTATTTTATTAACAAATAAGGCATTTTTTATAGTTTTAATTTTAGTAATAACCATAAAAATGTGCCAATATTGCCAAAATAATATATATTATTAAATGTATTTGATACTTAAAACAAGTATATTTAAAACATTAAATATGAATTATTAATGAATTACATAAATATGAATGAATTACATAATAATATCATAAACAATATTAGCAACATCTAAAATGTGGAGTTTGTGTTGGAATAAATTGCACTTAAAAAAGTACCAGGGAAAAAAAAACAGGAAAATTTTATTATTAAAATGATTGAATACTTATATAGATAAATATACTTTAAAATCCTGATTTTCATTCACATCTGAATGGGACAAGCAGTTAAAACTCACTGTCCAGACATCATTCATGGTGCCAATGGAGGAAAAGCTGATTCCACTGTCACCCGGTAAGTTTACAAAGAGATCAGTCATAGCTTTCGTGTAATAGTAGGTGGCGCTGCTGGTCATACCATAGGTCACTGCATGAGAACAGGATTACAGTCAGTCAACAATCACATCACTTATTGAGCTTTGCACAGACGTGCTACACCATTCACCATCGCACAGATAAAGGACATCAATTCATTCAAGTCTGATCCATTAGCAGTGCTCACGTCATGAAAGCTGCAGAGGGTTATTTGTTTGAGTTCACAAATAGCTCCCTCCAGCACAGACAAAGCCGCAATTGCCTGACCTGAGCTCTTATCAGCAAGGTCCCGCTTGTGCTCCATTCAGGCCTAATTTTCCATTGAACAATGCAGTGTTTTAACACAGGGGAGGTGGGGACATTTTATAACAAGCACTTAGGCTGATACACATCTCTGGATCATAATGGAGCGCAATATAATGGAAAGCCATGGGATCACATACAGTGCAATCAAAAAGACAAAAGAGCAAGCTAATTTATACATGTTTTAATGGATATAATTGATCTATCTGATCTTAATATTCACAGTTCCATACAGTGGTTTCAAACTTCAAACAGGTGTTTGTGCAACAGGTAACCATTCATAAAAACACATCATTCAGACAGGGAAAGCAGGTCTATAAATATATCATACAAGCAACATGATACTTACACAGGCACAAATCCACTAGGAAAACAATGTAGATGAGCAGTTCTTTGAGATTTGCTTTGACATTGAGCTCAGGATTCTCCTTTGTGTCCTTTCTTAGAGCTGTTCCCCACAGTCCTACCAAACCAAAACAAACACATTTTAAAATACATTTATATTTATTTATGTGTTATTAACTTTAAATAATAATATAGCAATAATTTAAGTGTCATTAGACATTTTTAAATATTACAACTTTACATTAAAAGTATTTCACTTGTGAAATTATTAATGCAATAAAAGGAACACTTAGACATTTGTCATTTGTGCAGGAAAAAATGTAATAATATTGAAACAATGAAATATGGTATTACTGTAATATGAAATAATAACAACATAGTAATAATAACATATTATTTAAAGTATTATTTACTATAATAAAATAAATCATAAAAAGGTTTAAAGCTAAAGTAAAACATATAATGGAAAACTGAAAATGCATGGTTCCTCCCTCACCTTTGACGGCTCTCAAGGGAAAAGAGCAACATCCAGACTTCTTCTCCTCTGAGGGGTTTGTTCGCACTTTATCCTCAGCCAGATAGGGTTTAGGCAGATTCAGCTGGTTCATGTTCTCCAAAGAGCTGTGGAACATGGGCTGAGGGTTGTAGACGGTGCTGATGGGGTGTCTGATGGGTGCAGGAGAGCCACTGTAGGCCTGATTCACCCAGCCTCCTTTCCCAAAGTTATCCATCTCGCACGCCACTGTGCTGCCCAGCTGATTCTCTGCCCGGTTATTGAGGTGTTGCATTGTGGTAAATGGAGAGGTGGATTTAACAGGAATTGCTCAAGTGCAGCTTGTGGCTGAGGAGAGTCTCCACCTGTATTTATACCTTTCCTGTTGTTAAAGCTAAAGTAAAACATATAATGGAAAACTGAAAATGCATGGTTCCTCCCTCACCTTTGACGGCTCTCAAGGGAAAAGAGCAACATCCAGACTTCTTCTCCTCTGAGGGGTTTGTTCGCACTTTATCCTCAGCCAGATAGGGTTTAGGCAGATTCAGCTGGTTCATGTTCTCCAAAGAGCTGTGGAACATGGGCTGAGGGTTGTAGACGGTGCTGATGGGGTGTCTGATGGGTGCAGGAGAGCCACTGTAGGCCTGATTCACCCAGCCTCCTTTCCCAAAGTTTTCCATCTCGCACGCCACTGTGCTGCCCAGCTGATTCTCTGCCCGGTTATTGAGGTGTTGCATTGTGGTAAATGGAGAGGTGGATTTAACAGGAATTGCTCAAGTGCAGCTTGTGGCTGAGGAGAGTCTCCACCTGTATTTATACCTTTCCTGTTCAATCCTCTAAAATAGAGCAAAGCGGAAGGAGGGGCTCGTCTTTTGTTCACAGATCCATTAAAAACACAATCCTGCCATTAAGGAAACTGAGACACAAGCTAGAGATTCTCAAACAGCGTTATTGACAATACAGACATAATGTGAATCTGCGTCACATTGTTAAAGACGTGCTGAAACAGAGATCAATACCTTCATAATAAAGATGCACAGAAATGGTAATTAAATTATTACCAGAATTAAATGATTCGCTTTTATTTGTCATCGTACTCGATCGAAAACAATTGATTGAAATATTGTCTGAAAATATGTACTTTATATTTAGATAGCGTCTGTGTTTATTCTGTATGTGTAGCCTAAAAATATTTTACTCAGCATTGGAATATAAGATAAAGATTTTTTGCAAGTAGGGGAAATATCAAAATAGCAGCATTGTTAATGTTTTTTTTTTCATTTGAGAATTTTCCGAGATCCCCTAGCCCCCTGTGGCACCTCGGGAGTTTATAAATGGCAAGGAAACATGAGACCTGTAGACTAGCACCATGGGAATTGCTTCTCATTCAAATGTTTTACGATATTTATTATGGTTGCACGATGAAAGATTTTTGTTGAAAATAAAATTAACAATGTTTTGACCTTAAGCGGTTATTAGTAACAAAATGCAAGGAAGTGTCTTTGACTGAGATTAGTTGATGGTCATAATGACAGCTGAGGCTAAACGGATTAAGATGGGTGTTTCTAGCTTCATGTAGCCTACACGCTTTCGGTCGAGCACTGGCCGTTCACGCCTCATTAGCACTGAAAAGAAACGTTATACACAGTCATTGGACAGCAAAGAGTTTAATCTCCTCTCTTTATTAGGAGTGGCTATGAGGACTGCCCTAGTCAAGTTGAACATATACGTTGTCTTCTTTCCCCTGGTGACCTTAAACTCTGAATGCTGGACCTTTTCTTGATTTAAAATATGAGGCAAACCAAAATAAAATGATTTGAATATTTGATTATTTAAATATAAATGTTATCTAATGCTTTCCTCTTATAAAGTGTCTTTGTAAACAGCGCAATTCAACCGTGACGTCATTCAGTCCTTTAAACATTATTTATAGGCTACCATCACTGAACTGTCATTTGTTTGGTGCTGTCTTATCTTGGGACACAGAGGCCTTCACTGAAATGTGTTTATCTGTCTAGTGTGCAGTGATACTCTAAAAAGTGTTCCTTAAAGTGTTACTCTTAAAGTGTTACTCTAAAATTAAAAGGGTAAAAGTACAGTAATGTTAAAGTAAGACTTTTCTCCCAATATTTACTATTCAAAGGTGTTTTATTTTTATATTTTACAGTGAGATTGTTTTTATAACATACTTTTTTATACAATTATTTAAAAACAATTAATAAAATCCTATTTAATATGTAAAATATTTGAAAGAAATGTTTAAAATGAAGTAAAAATTAAACTGATTCAAAAGTCTTTGTGTTTATTTTTGTACTGATTAACTGCATTATAAACAAATACATGTTTAATCACAGGATAAACTACAGCTCAAAACACTTTACCTACTGTACAAAACATTGCATAGTTGTTATTATTATTGTCATTAGACTGCTATATTCTTTTTCCTTTTTTTAGTACCAAATAACAAAAACAAAATGGAACAACAATTTAGGATGCCATTTTGGTCAAATAAGATCAGTGTATTTTTTGAATGCTTTTGCAGCTTTGATTGAACACACTATACACAAAGATTTGATACAAAGCAATGACCAAATTTAAACATTTGACAAAGATAAATTTACAAATGTGATTTTATCGAGTCATCGTTTACAACGTCTGATGAAAGATTTTCTACAGTTGCACAGAAAACATGTCCTTTTTTGCAACAATTAAAGCAACTCTACTTCTAGAATGAGTCAGACTCTAATAAAGCTAATCATTTGATTTCCAAAACCAAAAACATAAAATATTACACAGTAATACAAACACATTTACTGACTGCTGTATCTATGTTAAGAAAGATACAAGTGAACGCACCATTGCTTATCAGTCAGTGAAAGCTTAGAGGCTTTCGTAGTGATAGGCGAAGGAGGAGTGCATACAGTCATTTTCCACAGGGGAGTTATAGCGCATAAAGCAAGAATAGGTCTCTGGCTGTAGGCCGTCAAACTCTAGATTCAGCCAGTCTTTCTGAGGAGCTGAGTGTCTGCTGGCATCAGTCAGGATTCGGTTGAGGGCCATAATGTAGCTCAGGGCCATCTGCAGCGTCTCATATTTGGAGAGTTTCTTGTCCTGACCCCACTGAGGAACCACTTTGCGGAGGCGGTCGAATGCGGTGTTCAGGCCCTGCATCCTCTTCCTCTCTCGAGCGTTGGCCGCCATCCTCCGCCGCATGGCACTCTCAAACTTCTCTGGGTCTCTGGAGTCCGACTCCGACCCTGAATCTGCACAGCTCGGGCTGCGGGGCTTCATGACTCCTGGGCCAAAGGTCCTCAAAGGCCAACGGTGGTCTTGTAAACGGATCCTCTGAGGTGGAAAATTTCCTCAGACACAATGTTCCTCTTGTTGTCCGTGCAGTGAAGTAAATCCAGATAGTAGTGCTTCTGCTCTGCCATAAGGATGACTGATGCTTATATAGAGTATTAACAGGTGGCAGCAGGTGGAGCCCCACCCTTATTGCTTCATCCAAACATCCATTATTATTAATGAAACACACATATCCAACAGCAGGACTAGAGCACTCAAACTAGCGCCCCAGCCCAACCCCCATTAACTCAAACTTTAATGACATTCCAATTAACTTTGGCTGGTCTATCACTGAAACCGCGCGTTACGAACATAGATAACTTACCATCTGGCCAGGGCCACTGCATCAACCAGGAGTGGATGACAAGGACATTTACCTAATTAAAAGTGCATGCATATTTAAGCTAACATGATGTCTTTGCATCTCTTAGACAAGAACATTGTTTGCATTTGATTTTGCCATTAGATTCTAGCTCTCAAAATCTATATAAATATATACTGTATGTTAGTTGTAATAAATAGTGATGTTAAAATATTAGTAAATGATTATAAATTACATAGATAGATAGATAGATTTTGATTAAATTATATTAAACATATATTATTATATTTTATACTATAAATTAATAATGTAAGTTAGACATGAAATACTTATATTATGGTCATATTACAATTACATTTAAGCATATGCATAATATTATATTTAACTAATTTAATATTTAAGTTAATTTAATATTAAATGATAATTAAAAAAAATTAATGAAAACAAATTGAATATATTAGTTAATATAATAAAACCTATATTGTATATAAACGACTATATATAAACTTAAACTAAAAATTAAGTTTGTATGTTTAGTTTAGTATATTGAATTTTAAACTAATGACAGCACCATATGAAAAACATTTCTAGAGCAATAAATAATTGATTTAAGTGTCTCAATGGGACTGAGACAGACAGAAGTCTTCGACAAGCTGTCTATCTCAATCTGTCCAATGCGAATCAAATAAGACGGATAGAGTCACAGTTTCACCCAAAAGCCTGCTGAACAATAAACTCATCATCGTTGCTACATTTAATGGTTCAGTGGGAAGATTTTTCTTAATTAATATTAAAGACATATTTAATGTTTTTAGATTCATTTAACAAAAAATTATTTTGCAGCTTTATCCAGTATAAATAAAAATAAAACGCACAATATAATATTAATTATACCGCATTATGAATTAAATACATTAAGTAAAATCATTTTATTAAAATACAGTATTTCTCTTTCAGTATTTTCCTACAAGCACAAAGTAGCATTCAATGCTAAATATGTGCTCTAAATACATATATCAGTACATCAGTTTTGTGTACAAAAGATCTTGTACATAATTCATGTCCCAGCTGACTATGGTTCAAGCCATATAAACTCATGCTGTCAGGTCATTTTGCATTGGACAAGTAATTTTGCTGTTCAATTGGGCATATAAACCCAATCCACTGGTTTGATTTCATTGATTGCAGATTGGCATGGCTGGCCAGCTGCTGCTTGTCTTGTTTAAAAGGCTTGGTCCAGACATGTAGAACAGCCTTGTTTTTCACTCATTCACATGATGGGCTTGTCTGGAGACGGAGGCTGTCCTATGCAAAAAGGCCATATGTTACAAGCTAGTCCTGTAACTTTGAGACAGTGTTGAGCAGATTAAAGATTTACTCAGTCTTGAAGAGGGGAAAGTGAGAAGGTCTATTATCAGTTTAACCGCTTAAGCCAGGATTTAGTAAATCTGATTTTCATTTAAAGCGTGAAGCAGTTACCATTGATTCCAAAGGAGAAAATGTTCTTAAAAATCGAACGTGTAATCCTCCAAACACAAGGAAAAGTGATAATCTATTGCGATGATTAAACTCCTACTTAACAGCCAAACCACAGGCCTAAAACAGAGAATGAGTCTGCTGATGATACTGCTGATGAAAACTAATATTATTAAGTTTATCAGTATGCTCTTCCAAAAATTCATCTGTATGACATTATGACCTCTGAGCTACGAGTATAAACTGTTGTGTTCATTTAATAACCTATCAAACATACAACCACTGAGAATAAGACAATGCTAAGCTAAGTTTCACTTCTATCTGGAGAACAGTTTGAGGTTTGCAGACTTCAAACACAGACATTTAAAGATATGTTTTGATCAAATTTATAGAAAAATCATATTGACCAATGAGGTAATTCAGAAAAGTGAGGCATATTGTGTAAACACTCACCCCCACAGAAGATGAGAATTTCACCCCCCACCCCACCAACACCATCAAAATAGGGCATCTGGTGAGATGAGGCTAGTCACTGTAATTAGGTCAAGCAAGGTGCTTGTAATTTCATGCCTATTTGAACCCTTTTTCCCTTCTAGCTATGTTTAATCTTAACTGGTCAATGAAGCAACGTCCTATGTAGCTAGTCAGTTAGACAAAAGAATCTATAAATATATAAATGTAAAATAAATGTAATATTACATATGCACGTTGTTTTCTTTTTTTATAAGTATTGTATATTCATTTGATGCAATGTACATATTAACATATTTAAATAATCTGAAATATGTTTCAGATTTCATAAAATGCAAAAAAGGCAAAAAACTGTTGCTTTAGCAGCACTGTTTAATCATAACAGTGTTACAGAGTTGTTGTTGCTTTCACATTCAGATATTGCTTTTTTTATATAAATATATGCACTGCATAATAACAACAACAGCAAAGAACCTGGAGAGAAACAACTGAAAAAAACTACATAACTTTTGTCATTAAACAAAATGGACACATTTAGTTAATAATTTATAATTATTATCATAACAAATTATACAAGCAAGCTGCTTGGTTACAAAAATGAGTATGTGTAATGTGTATGTACTGTATATATAATTTGTAATTATATGTGTGTATGTATGTGTGTGTAATTGTATTTGGCTACTCACAAATAATTTTCATTATCACTTTTCAGCAACTGCCTTCTTTTTCTTAGGTTTCAGTTTGAAGTCCAGAAAAATGCCAGCAATGCCAGCGTAAGTGGCCAGAACACACTGGAACCAAAATATATTTTAAGTGTGCTATGTATGCTAGCACTGACATACAAAATAACTGGACTTTGTTTTCAAACCACCACTACATATACAGTAGTTTACAGATTTGTATAAGGAAACTTGTTGGTTTTAAAATACAGCAATTTCCAGAGAAGTGTTAGACTATATGCGGGATATTAAACATACAGCTGTATCAACGATCTGCAACACACTAATTAATAAATACTCACATTCCTTCTTCCTGTAATGGTGTATGAATTAAAATATTTGGCAATCCCTGTGAACTGGTGTTGGCTCCCAGCATCATGGCCCCCCATGGTCCTGCTGTCAGATAAAACACAATGCATATTCTTACATAATTTGTTACTTCCTTCTTTTAAATTTTCATCTGAGTTAATACTTCCCACTATGCAACCCAGTAAATTTCGCTGTTAAAAATGGGGTGGGATGCAGCAATGCAGCTGAGCGGTTTGAGATTACAGCATCTCACTTGGCTCAAGACACTCATCTTAATTCAACCCATATAAATAAGACACATCTAAAAAAGACACTTTATATAGACTTAATACATAATCTGTGGAAATACTCGATTAGCGATTAGGTTTGACCTAAAACGTGGATATTGATAAGCGATAGTCCTTCTTTTATTCGTGTTAGTTATGCTGCAGTCTGTTTAAATTACTTTATGATAAATATCGCCATCTACCGTCCATATAAAAACACCGCAAACTACCAAGGTCACTAAAACATTAGGATCTTCTTCAAACAGCGAACGGGGCTTCTTTAGTTTTGTTTGTTTTGGATGACACAAGAAATACAAATGTACCAGTTTTGTGGCAACATACTTTTTGTCGTACAGTAACTGTTTTCATGTTATGTTGTAATTAGGCTATATCAGTGCGTGAGTGACATGGATTGTTTTGTGGTTTTGTAGATCGGCTAATCGTTTTTGTGGTTATTGTGAAAGTAATTTTTTAGAAAAAAAATATTTTCATTTCTTTTTGTTCAGAAGATTGGTACCTTCTAAAAAATAAACACAAACAAATACTTAATTTTCTGTCTGATTTTTCAATCTTTCCATATATTTCTACAGGTCTGATTAATTTCTTTTTTGATAAATGCTGATAAATGCTGAAATAATGAATGCATTGTCAGACATGATTCTGACCTCCAGGTGGTGCTCAGTTTACTCTTTTCAGTGTTTGTGAATGCATTTTCGCTGCTTTTAATTGTAAAACGTCTCAAGCAAATGAAAACAAAGAGTAATGCAGGCTACGCCCAAGAAAACACGCAAGTACACCATCTGTTACTAAAGGTCATTTGTTTTAATTTGCTTTAATTCATTTTACTACACAAACAAGATCTAATTTAATCACTTAGTGAAGTACATTCCTTCATTTCCTCCTTGATGAGATAAAAATCCCCTCTTAAGTATTTATGCAGAGAGGAGAAGCTTCTATTTTGAATATCCACAGCCAGTCAGAGGGACTCGCAGTGTTCAGTGTTCAGTTTGAGCACCAGAAAGGGTTTCACAGCTGTGTGAGTCACTGTAACATGCAGTTAGCTCACTGATCTAGCTAGTGTAAATCATAGCAGTGGAAGTACATACTAATGTGTGCTTACAGTCCATAAAGCAAAGCCAGTAATTATGCATATAAAATGCTAATGTCTTGACATAGCTGTGAAGTTAGTCTTGTGTATATTATCACTTTTAGTGGCCACTTTCAGAGGCACTATTTTATCCTGGCAAAGTGTCAGATATCCTCAAGTAACAGATATTCACCATATGTTAAGTCAATCTGTACAGCTCAGAAATATTATTCGCCCCCTTTTACAAAGAACAATAATATGCTTGTCCATCACTCAGAGAAAATCTCCCTGTGTTCCTCAGCTGCTTCTAGCAAGTTCACAATGGGTCAGAAAGATTATGGAAGCTCATCGGTGTAGCTTTTAGAATAACAAGACTGTCATCACCGTGTTTTGTAGACTGTTGGACTAAGAATAAGCACAACAAATATGAAATTCAGAGCAATTCAAACAAGATGATTAAGTTATGAGTTCCTATTGGTTGCTTTGCATTGAGTCATGGAGGATGGGGTTTAAAGGGAAATGTACACAGTAACATGCTGAATCAACCCGACAACATTAGGTTACACCAACAGGTCATTTCTAGGGTTAGAAAGGTATCTTCAGTGTAGTACTGTTCCCTCTGAATACGACCAATTGTCATATATGAACAGATATTTTTAAATGTTTTTGAAAGAAGTCTCTTATAGGCTCACCAAAGCATTACTTGTTTGATCAAAAAATGCAGTAAAAAAACAGTAGTACTGTGAAATAATATTAAATTCATAATAAAAGTTTTCTAATTTACTATATTTTAAAAAGTAATTTATTCTTGTGAAGACAAAGCTGAATTTTCAGCAGCCATTACTCTTCAGTGTCACACGATCCTTCAGAAATAATTGTAATATACTTATTTGCGTTATTGCGTAATCTTTTTTGCATTTTTGTTATCAATGTCATGCTGGTTATTATTTTTTTTGGAAACAGTGCTACTTTTTTTCAGGATTATTTGATGAATATGAAGTTTAAAAGAAAGAACAGTATTTATTTACAACAGACATCTTTTATAACATAATTGCATTAACAGCCACTTTTGTTCTATTTAATAAGCATCCTTGCTAAATAAAGTATTGTATTCTTAAAAAAAATCTTACTCCACATTGTTGAACAATAGTGTGTGTGTGTGTGTGTGTGTGTATACAATATATATACATATACATTATATACATAGACTTCATTTAAACATGTTGATCATATCTTCAAATGAGTCATTTGCAATTTATTGCTAACAATAAATTGCTAATATTGCTATTCCTTGGTGTTCTAAAGTAAATAAGTTATCTATTTATGGAAATTTAAATTGTTTTACATAGTGAATAAACACAAAAACTGGTTCCATCACAGAAACTTTACATTTTATTGAGAGAAATGTACAGTACAAAACATCCACCTTAACTCAAATTAGGCCAAATTTCATCCAATCTGACTCTGAAGCTTCTGAATTACAGCGTGGGTTCTCATCAAGACCATGAGCTCCCTTTAGCACTCAGAACACTTCCGTGACTCTAAACAAACACATTTATGAGTGTCAAACGTTAAAATATTGGCAAGAGTATAATCCGATGAGCTCACTGATCCTTAAGGTCAGGACTCAGGTCACTGAGCTGCTCCTCACTTTGGATTCTGTAACTGGGCCTTCCTAAACATGACTCTTTATGGTAGTAATAGTGACCACAGTCTCTCTTAGAGGAGGACTTCTGTAAATTCACACATATTCCCCAGTGTCAACTCAGACCTCATGATTTGTGCAACTGTCCTGGTCTGAATATTTGTCTGTTTGGAGTCCACAAGGCATCAATTTATCTTGCTGCAAGCTACATTATGGCCAAGAATACACATCAGTTCAGTTGCACTGGGAAAATCCCCCTTCCCCTCCCTCCCCCCATATATGCAGGAGAAATCTGGTGATTGGTGGACAGGGGCAATTGTTGTGTATTTGGGACTAGTCCGCCCGCCCGCCCGCCCGCCCCAGTAGTGTGGTGTTTTTTAAAGCTGTTCTTAGGTGTATGAGAGCCAGCCTATCTCTGAGCAGCGAAGTCCCTCTTCTGTCACACCTCCAGGGGGTTCTGGGGTCCCTCGGCCCCCTGCGGAGGATCTGGCTGGAGCCTGCAGATGGGCTTGTTGCACATGGGGCAGACGCTGCGAATTTCCAGCCACTTCACCAGACACCTGAGCAGGAGACAAAGTGAAAAGAGGAGAGACGGTTTTTAACACGATCAGACATAAAACAGCATCAAAACTGTGTAACATTATGGAATAAAATGTCGACCCATGAAGAGGTAATAATAAATGTCAAGCTTTGGGGTGTTAATCGACTTAATCTACGTTTTGATTATCATTCTGAATCCAATTCATAGTCTTTTTTCAGCTTTTTTGTTCAAAATGTTGTTTATTTATTTATTTTTTATTTATGAAACTTATCCACATTCAAGTGTTTAAAAAAAGAATGCATGAAGCTAGAATAAAATGTTTTTGTTTACAAGCAGATACCCTGTTCTTTTGATGTTTTGTATGTTCAGATATTCATGTAACAAAATATATACAAATTAATACCTAAATAGGGACATAGTAGTATACTTAAAGTATGATGTAAAGTTCACTTAAAGAAAACTTACGAGTATACTTGCAGTATAAAACTAGTATAATATAAACTAGTACTTTACTGAGACTATACTTCAAGGTGTACTAAAGATGCTACTACAAGTATTTAATTAGTAAACTATCAGTATACCTATAAGTTCACTTTTAGTATAGTTACAGTACAAACTAAACATTTTGATGTAAACTAGTTGTGTACTGAAAGTTTACTACTGTTGCACTTAAAGTATACTTAAAAGTATACTTTTATATACTAGAAAGTGGGCCAATTTAGTCCCAAGGAGTATTGAAATAGTACACTTACAAGTATATTACTAGTACACTGATATTTGTATACTTACTACATAAAGTATACTTAAAAATATACTTGAACTTTAAGTATACTTACTAAAATAAACTTGAAGTATACTACTTTATGGTAAGGGTTGTTATGCATCAGCTATCTATAGACTCAAGTGCTTTATGGCCACGTCACAAGATGACAGTCTGAAACTGCAGGATGTTTTTGAATAACGAAAATCGGACAGGTGTTATTCAAGGCTAATACTCATATTTAAGTTGCAGTGCCTTGACAGCTTAATGTGTGGTTCTTGTTTTAGTGCCTCTATCAATATTCTGTGTGTCAGGAATCTACATGCTTGAATGTTTTTGAAGGAATGTGTTGTGTAAAGCATCCTAATGTTTTATTTTCAGAATACAGAAACATAATGAGAAATGTGACAAGATGGTAAAAGATCGTACTTTTTGTGAAACGCATGAGAACATGGGCAAACCCCTAGTTCATCCCGGCTCCGAAACTCTTCCAGGCAAACTGCACAGGTCTGCTGCAGAGTGAAAGAGAATGGATGAAAAAAAAACAGAGACAAAACTAATTTTCCAATTTATTTATATTTTATTTAATTATTTATATTTTATCATTTAAACAATTGTGATAGCTCCAAACATTGTAAATACAATAATGTAGATAGTTAGCTAAAAATCTAAATTCTTACTCACTCTGTCATCCCAAACCTTGCTGGAACAAAAACTAAATAAATTATGCAGCAGAATGTTCAAGCTGCTTTTTTCATATAAGGAATTTGAGAGTTGATGGATAGTCCTGTTTTACGTTTATTAAATAAGGGGGGAAAATCAGCTTGGATATTCAGCCTAAATTGTTTTGTGTTCTACGGAAGAAAGTAAGTCATACAGGTTTGAAATGACATGAGGGTGAGTAAATTATAGAAATGTCAGGGTTTTACGTTTGGGTGAACTAAAGGTATAGTTTTGGCAGTTTCTTACTCCAAGAAGACTCAATTTTTTCCCTGGACCTTTTAGAATGACCTGTAAGAAGAAAATATTATATGAATAATAATATATATAATTAGTATATGCATGTGCGTGTATGTATATATATATATATATGTGTGTGTGTGTGTGTGTGTGTGTGTGTGTGTGAGTGTGTGTA